TATGTTTGTTTTGAGGTTTGTTAATAACTCCCTTACAGGAAGAAGAGATGAGCAGAAAAAATAAATGTGATATAAGAGGTATTTTGTTTTGTCTTTAAAATTCAGAAGTTGGGGGGGGTTTAAATATAGTTACAAAAGGGGGAAAGATTTTAGGACCTCTAAACAGAAGGTTTGTTGGTTTAGATTTAATGCATGGGCTTGTTTCTGTTTTTTAATGAGAGGGAGAGGAGAAAGAGATAGAAATGCCAGGAAGCTTACTGGATACATTTTACTATGAGTTTCAATCATAAAATAACTTTGTCATGGTTCTAACTGGTGAGTTTTGCATAGTATTGGGAGCTTGAAGTACCATAGGATCTGTGAAAACTCTCATTGACATACAAATGAACTGTGTCCTATGCTCAAAAAATGAGGCAGCTGGGACATAGCAGATGGAAGGTTAGACTTGGAGGCAGGGAGATCTGGGTTCAAATGTCACTTCTGTTGCTTAATTTCTCTGGACCTCCTTTTCTTCATCTGTACCTCAATAAAATGAGTAAAATGGGAGGGGGTAGGACAAGATAATCACTCAGGTCCCTCGTAGCTCTAAATATATAATCCTATGATTCTAAGTTAAGGGATTGTGATGATCTGTGTTGGTAGAGGAAGTTCCTATACCAGGAGTCCCCCCCACCTCACATTGACAAATATGTTCTGAAATATATGGAGGGAGGGGATCTTTCTTGAGAATGCAAAAGTAGAGTGCATTGACTCATCATTTCACTGGATGTTCATGCAATGGTCGTGTGGTAGAATGTGCAGTGACTGTGCATATAGTGGCAGAATGTCTTTGAAGTGAAAGGAAATGTTCTTAAATGTCATTCTTAGTATATCTCTGGTTCTGTGAAGGATGATATGCAAGGCCTTGGCTTTGCAGCTCATACTACCTACCCCAGAGGGTCAGCCTCTCTGGGAACTGATCCAGACAACCTTTGACCTTTAGTGGTGTAGAAATACTAGGATATGTCTGTCCTTGCTCTAAACTTTGTTGATCTCTAAACCCCAACCAGATACATACATTTCTTGATCTTCTTGCTCTCTGAACCTTCTTGGATTCCTGGGATCAGTGGTGTGGCATTTGCTTCCTTTCTGCTACTGTAGCTGCTAGTACATCTTCATGCCTGGTTCTAATGCCACCCTCTCCCTTTACCTTCTTCTCTGACCCTACCCATTCCAGACTAAAAGGAGGCTTTCTCTAGAGTTTATTCACAAGAGAATATAACAATAAGATTCAGAAAATTGAAAGTATATCTACTGAAAAAGGATTCTACCCAACACAGACTAGATGCCTCCCAAGAATCCAAAAGTAGCCTTCTGAACTAACATCTACCCAGGAGAAATTGGCCTACCATACTCCCTATCCCCACAGCCTCAAAGTGTCCCATTCCTAAATGACCAAAAAAGGAGAATCTTGTCTTTCTTCTCTGTATTTTCCTAGGTGGTTTGGGATGGACTTAAATAGGTGTTCTAGGCAAAGCTATTATCTAGGATGCTATCTCAGGTTCCCTTTCAACCAGCTAGAACGTTGCCTTCGAACGGAGTATACAAACCCAAAGGGAAGTAGGCATTCTGAGAAAGGTTACAAAGAGTTTCCTGTTTCGTCACAGTGGCCAGAATTTTTTCTTTATATATAGCATATATTCTAATCTTTTTCACATTGAGCTAACAGGTTTAGGATGGTTAAATGACTTGTCCAAGGTCACACATGTTGTTAAGTAGAAGAGCCAGGATTTGAGCCCAGGTCTTCTGACTCCAAGCCCAATGTCTTTTTTATTGTTCCATGATTCTTCTACTAAAAAGGAAAGACTGCCTACATATATCCAAAAAGCTGGAACCTATAAAATAAGAGCACTAATAGGAGGGAAGGCTCCTGGGTAATGAAGCCCTTGACCTTGGCTGCCAACACTCAAGGCTCAAAATAAGGGGAAAAAGCAAAGGAGATTAAAGCTTCTAACACAAGAGGGCAAATTTGATCTCTTTGGTACCACTGACACGTGATTGGATGAGACTCATGCCTGAAATATGGCTCTGAAAGGGTATACTTTATTCAAAAGTAAGAGAATAAGTTGAAAGGGAGACGGGTAAAATAACGCTGTACATTAAGAAAATGTCTTCACGTGAGAAAGGGGGATACGTGGCAGGAGGCATTTGGGCTAAGATCCAAAGAAACCTTAATTATGCAGACATCTGCTGTAGCTCCTTCTCCAGCAGAGCAGTTAGAGAATCAGCTTTTGATTTGTCTTGATGGTAATGTCATCCTTTAAACTAGGGAGGGACCGGGGAGGGGAACTTCTATTTTGGATCTGATTTTTACCCACTAAGGAGGAACTGGCTGCTTGAATGAAAATGACAGGAACTTTTCAGAGGAAGTCACTCCCATCTTAGACTGATTGTGAGATAGAGAAGAACAAGAAAGCCAGATAGGGTTTAACATTTTAAAAAACAATTAATATGTTTTGTTGATTTCAGGGCCAAAAAACAAGTAGCATTTGGTTAGTTATAGGTGAAAGGCATCTTTAAAAAAAAAAAAAACGAAAAACACACCACTACAGGGATGCCATGTTTCAGCCACAGATGTTGGGAAGGGGAAGGAATCTCTTTGGAAGGGGACAATCTTCAAAGTTGTTTTGTTTTGTTTTTAAGGAAAGAAAAAGGATTTTTTACACAGTGTGTAGAAAGAAGGCAAAAACAGAGGATGCATACTTGTACATAGCAGCTGATGATGGCTTTTCCCTTCTTTGTCCTTCTACTGTTTCTTATTTTTTCATGAAGTGACTCTGCTTATAAGCTCTCACCATCCCTCTGTAAGATTTTACAAATGGATTCATATTCTAAACTGATTCTATTTACATAGCACCTAGCTCCTCTTGGAAAGACGTCAAGTGTTTGCTGACGTGCAATTTCTAGGCTCACTGGATTTCCTCATTTTTGGTGATTAATTTGTAAAATGAAACTTCCCTAGAAAAAGATACTATTTCTGTGTCATTGTCTATTCACCCATTTCCCATTATAAATAATTTGTTTGAATAGGCAAGGTCTTAATTGCATGCTATATCATTTTTATTCTTTGAATTTGGCTTGATTTTTATTATTGGCCCAACCAGTCATGGTTACCCTACATTTACAATTAATTTTTAAAAAGCTCCCACACAATTAACCAGTCAAAGAATCATGAGATTTGAAAGTTGGAAGGGACCTCAGTGACCATTTAGTCCAAGGAATCTCCACTTTGACATACCTAACAAATGATAACTCAGCCTCCATTTGAAAACCTCTGAAGAGGAAACTCTTTCCCTAAAATTAACTTCTTATTTGTTAAGACATAATCAATATAATTTTGTGGTGTTATTTATGAAGTCCAACAGCTTCCAACTCTCTTCTAAAAGAAAGCTATAATATTAAAAGGTCATACCCTGAAAAAATTAGAAGAGAATAAGGATGGATACCTTTCATAGCCATCTGTGTCTACGAGGTTAAGATAAATTCTTAACCAAAGGGGCAGCTAGGTGGCACGGTGAATAGAGCACCAGCCCTGGAGTCAGGAGGACCTGAGTTCAAATCTAGCCTCAGACACTTGATACTTACTAGCTGGGTGACCCTGGGCAAGTCACTTAACCCCAATTGCCTAGCCAAAAAAAAAAATTCTTAACCAAACAAGGGACAAAGGTGATCACAAAAGATAAAATAGGTAATTTCAATTACACAAATTTGAAAAATTTTTGCACAAATAAAACCTACTCAACTCCAATAAGAAGGGAAGCTGTCAATAAGAATCTGATATCCAAGTTATATAGAGAACTAACACAAATATAATAAGATCAAGGTCAAAGAACATTAAGGAGTCCACAAAAGAAATTAAAAGTATTAGTAGTCGTTTGAAATATTGCTCCAAATCATTAAAATAAGAGAAATGCACATCAAAATATAACTCTGAGAATTCACTTCATGCTCGGCAAACTTGCAAAGCTGACAAAAGTACTCAGTATAGGAGGGTCTTAGAAAATAAATGGATGTGAATCCACTGTTGGTTGAGCTATGAAGGGATCCAACCATTGTGGACAGCAATTTGCAATCATGCTTTTAAAAAAATCATGGAATATTTCATGCCTTTGACTAGATCCCAAGCTAATTAAGAACAGAAAGGTTTCATAGTCACCCAAATATTCATAGTTAGCAAAGGAATATAAACTAAGTGGATCCCCATTAAGTGAGTAATGGATGAACAAAATATGGTACAGGAATGCCATGAAATATTATTACATCATCACAAATAGTGAAAATGAAGAAAAGAGAAGCATTGGAAGATTTCTATGAACTGATACATAGTAAAGTAAGTAAAACACATAAGTAATGACTAAAACAATGTAAACTGGAAGGACAAAAAAAAAATAAACCTAAGTTTGACCCAAAGAAGAGACTAGAAAACTTATCTAGCTCCCTTCTTTGCAGAGGTTGGAGACTGTGGGTATGGAACATTTCATATACTGTCAGACTTGGTTGATGTGTTGCTTATTTTTGCCAAACTGCTTTCCCCCCCCCCTTTCTTTATATTGTTTTGTTAACAAAAATTGGTTTGCTTGGGAAAGGGAAGGGAAGGATGCATTCAAAAATTAAGGTGATATAACAATAATATCAACAAAAATTTATAAATGATATATTATCATGAGGCTTCTTATATAGTCTAAAAGTTTTTGGCCTTTTTTTTTCTTTCAACTTGTCAAGGAAATTAATTATGGTAAAATACAATTACCAGTTTTAAAAAATATTCATGGGCCCCCTGAAATCTGTCCTTGAATGCCAGATTACAAACTTCTTGTCTAAATAAAGGTGTGACTAGCCTTACAAATATATGACTAACTCCTGTCTTGAGGTGTGAATATTTTTATTTTTTATCAACATTTATAATGGGTCCCAGTAATAGTTGTCTGATTAATTATATATCTAATGATTGTTGTCCACAGGTTAAAAAACAAAGCACCACCCAGTGTGCCTCAAAGAGATTATGTTTCAGGTAAGAGTCACCTAATAAAATATTAATTGAATAGCTCTTAAATATCATTGGCTTATGTTTATCTTGTGGTGGGGGATAACTGCCTATGCCAATATAATATGAAAAAAATGGCATCTGATTTAACTGCTTGACATAGTAAACATAACCAGCATCTGATAATGGAGAAAAATAAAGAATGATGAATTATTAATAACCAGTAATTTGATATTATACTTCCAAAATTCAGTTCAAGGAACTAGGAAGGAAGGGAAGAAGGAAGAAAGGAAGTATGGATAGATAGATGGTTGCAAGGAAGGAAAGAAAATGTCATTTATTAAGCACCAATTATATGCCAGGGACTTTGCTAAGTGCTTTACAAATATTATCTCATTTGATCTGCATAACAGCACCACAGGTAGGTACTATTAGCGCTCATTTTACAGATGAAAAAAAATGAGACAGAAAACAAGTGAATTGCCCAGGGTCACATAGCTCTCTAAGACAAGATTTGAACTTGTATTCCTGACTTCCAAGCTCAGCGCTCTATTCGTTGTGCCACCTAGCTGCCAGATGCAATGGAAAGGGCTGTGGTTCTTGAGTCAGAAAACTCAACCAGAGCTTTTTGGCTTACTACCTTTGGGAATTTGAGCAAGTCTTTTGACATTAATGGGCCCTCCTTTTCACATCTGTGAAATGAGGGAGTTGGATTAGATGGGACCTCTAAGGTTTCTAATGATATGATCCTATGAAGTAGATTCTATTGCAGATGGAAACTCTACAATGGTGGGGCTCGAGACTATGCTGGACAGAATGGAAGAAGGGAGATGTAGAATCTAACATAATTCTTCTCCTGAAAAAAAAACCTTGCAATAATGCTGGTATCTCTATGAACTAGCCTTTAATATAGAAAATCACAACTTTTTAAATGGGGCTGGTTCTATAAATCCTCTCACCAAGAGCAGCATGGGTATTGAAATTATTTGAGGTTGTTTCTACATGACAGCAATAAATCAGTTCAAATCTCTTCCACAATCAAATTTCTTATTACTGGTGGAGATGGTCAATAAACATTTTATTAAGCACCTATTATGTGCTAAGAACTTTACAAAGCACTGAAAATAGTTGTAGCATGATTAGTAGATCCATTTGTGAGTCAGAAACCTGGATCAGAAGTGTTGTCCAACAATCCAACCGCTGTCCAGTGGTTATTAGATATTTTAATATGTATTTCTTGACACTTCTTCCCTCTTTAATTGACAAGTATTAGAAATGTGATCAGGGGTTCCAGAGCAGTATGGAGCTTTGGCTTCATTCATTCATTCAGCAAGCATATATTTGGCACCAACGATGTATCAGAGTCTATGCTAGATACCAAATAATCCTCAAATATGTGATTTAATCAGCATAGGGAATTCGTAGTATGGAAAATGCCTCTGCCAACACAGATCACATTAAGTTCTACCTTCTGCTGGAATCCTTTCCTGATCCACCCAGATTCCAGCACCCTCCCGTAATTTTCCTCGTGTTTATTTTTTCATATGTTTGAACGTACTTATTAATGTTCACGTTGCTCCCCATCAGAATACAAGATCCTCAAGGGCCAGTAAAGTTTCATTCTTCTGTTTCATTCAATATCCCCCGCGCCCTCTCCAGTGCATGGCATGTAGCAGATGCTTCATAAATGCTTGTTGATTGATTGACAGAGATGATAAAAGGCATGGCTGGATCATGGGGAAATTTGTTACATTGTATTTGTTTTGTATTGTACTGCTGTGTCGTGCGACGATATTGATTGCATTGTGGTACAACGGGGAGGCAAGCCTAGCTGGAGGGTGGAGTCTCTTATGTTGTGCAAAACAGCCCTTAGTTCCTAGCAGCACACTCCCTCTAGCCAAGTGTGGCTATTACCTTCTTCCTGGCTGCACAGCTGTGACTAAGTCCTTAGCATGGATGAGACAGAAAGAGATGCACTTTGTACACTAGACATATGGTGAATGGGGAAGAGGAGATGGGCACAGTCCGGGAAGCAACACTGTGATTTCAAGGAAAATGTCCTAAGACCAAATTGAGGATGTTTATAGAGAGGTTGTGGGAGTCATGTCAGTAGCTGAATAACCAATGCTTTGATCATTGTCTATGGTAGAAAAATAGGTACCTAAGTCTGATCGAAGGAAGCTCCTTGAGGCAGGGACTGACTCTACGTGTCTGTCTTTCTGTCCCCGTGGCTAATATGGCAGAAATTTAATAATTGCCTGTTGACTGATAATGAGTAGCAGTTTGAAAGACAAGACCTGGTTGGTGTGGGATGGGTAGGGGGTGTTTCTGACTATGGTGGGTCCCTTACCTGTAAGGCCCAGAACTCCCTGTACATGCAGAGGAGAATCAGGGATAGAGTACCGTGTCATGATAATGGCCATCACAGACTTGCAAGAAGAGGGGGTGGTAAGGTATATTAAGATATATCAAGCACTTTCCCTCACAATAACTCCATGTAGAATATTATTCCCATTTTGTAGATATGGAAACTACAGCTTAGAAAGATGAAATAAGACATTTTCAGGCCCTAAAATGAATAGTGAGCTATCCCCACATTGCACAGTAACGTTAAAGCCCATGGGAAGAAAAGGACAAACTTATTTCTCACTTGGCCATACCTTGCACACACCACCCATAATATCTCACTACAAGGACAGATCAAACAGGGACCATCATAAGTCCTCTAGTCTTTCCAGTCAGAGAAGGTCCTAGAAACCAGCTATGGGGAAGCAAAGTCATCATTCATCCTGTGATGCTATAATCCTTTTATCTTCCAAAGAGAGTTAAAGCTGCTACATTAGCAGGAGGGAATAACAATAGAAATCCTTGACTTGGGCTTTGGGAAAACAAAACAAATAAACCAACCAAACAAACCAAAAGGCAGGTTTATAGGCTAAACAGACTCAATTGATCAAAAATCTCTCTCATGGCCCAGCTTTTCAAGAAATGTGGAAGTTGGAGGAGTAAAATCTGTTTTTCTGTTTCCTCTGAAAACTCTCTTGTCACCCCCACAAACTCTCAAAGACCACTCCCTTTGGCTTCACTCGAATCATAGGGATGTGTCTCCATATCTTCTAATCTGCCAGAGTTGGTTATGATTCACACCAAGCCCAGGTCTCAGACCCACAAAGCCATTCCAATTCCTCACCACCAAGGCCATCGATAGAACCAGAACTTGGAGAGCCCAACGACAGTCAGCAAGTCCTTATGAGCCTTGGAGATCATTCATTGCCTGCTGAAAACTTGAGTTCTAAAAATGAGCCCAAGTGGTAGGCCCTGGCTCTTAGAGACCACAGCAACCATTTATTTCCTGTGAGCCTTAAAACTGGGTCCTCTTTTTTGATCCTCAGGAGCATAACCACTTTCCTAAGCTCTTTGAAAACCACTTCTGTTTTGCCTGAACCTCAGAAATTTGCTGAGGTGGGCAACCTTTGGATAGAGTTCAGAGGACTGAAACATTGATGATTTGGCCAAGGAAGGAAAAACTATCACACTCCACAGAATTCTAGAGTTGGAAGGGTCATCTACTCCAAGTGGCACCTAAATAGGAATTGGTACCACCATCTTCTTACCAGTGGCCATCCAACCTCTGCCTAAAAACCCTTTAGGGATAGAGAATTTTTTACTTTTTAAGGCAATGAATTCCACTTCTGGACAGCTATAATTGTTTGATTTTTTTTTTCCTTTATATCAAGCCAAAATCTGTTTCTGAAGCTTCTATGCATTTTCTCTAGTTCTGCCCCCCAGGGCCAGTAAAAACAAATATAGCCCCTCTTCCACGTGAAAGCCATTTGTTAAACTTTATAAAGGACCATATTCTTTTGTAGCTGAAAGATATCTCAGAAGTCATCTGACACTCCTCCAATTCCACTAATGAGAGAAGTGAGACCCAAGGAAGGAAGAAGGAAGAAAGGGGGTAGGGTAAGAGTGGGGGTGGGGGAGCCAAGGAGAAGGGAGTAAGGAAAAGAAGCAATTACAACAGGTGAAATGATTTGTCCATGAACATACATACAGCAAGAAGTGGGGTGAGGACTCAAAACACATGTACTCTGATTTCGAATCCAATGCTCTTTCCTTTACACCAGGAGTGCTGAACACACATACGCATGCATATGTGTGTCTGTGTGTGTGTGTGTGTGTGTGTGTGTGTGTGTGTGAGAGAGAGAGAGAGAGAGAGAGAGAGAGAGAGAGAGATGGAAGCCTCTTCAAGTCTGGTGAAGAATGAAGCCTTTCTCAGAATGTTTTTAAATGCATGAAATACTATGGATAGGATTCTAAGGAAATTGATTATATTAAAATACAGTCATCAAAATTTTTTTTCAGTTTACAGGTCCTAGGTAAAGAACTCTATCCTATATCAAAGTGACTTGAAGCTACTTATCATGCTCCTCTGCCCCCAGTTATTCTTTTCTCCAGGTTAAATACTCCCAGTTCTTTCAACCAATACATATATAGAATGGCTTCTAGTCTTCTCACCATCTTAAGTCTCCTTCCTTTGGAAACTGTCTACAACATTCCAGATGTCATTGAGCTATGGAAGAATACAACGACACTATCACATCCCATATTCTGGATAGTAATACCTCTTCTAATGTACCCTAAACAAGTTACCATGTCCTAGCAGTGAGTAGAGAAAGGAGAGGATGGAAAGGAGGAAAATGGCAGAAAGTAGGACTCAAGTGGGAATCTTATCCCTAAAGATAGATTAGTATCTACTTTAGTCTTGTCCTGGACCTTTCTAATGTTACAGGACTTCTACCACCACCATCACCATTTCTAGGAAATCTAGCAGTATGATTTCCTTTACCTTTGCTTAATTCTTGGGAAGCAAAGAAGGGCAGGGATTTTTCTCCCTGGCCTGAATCATCACTGTATATCTCAGTGATATGACTGGAATGTTTTGAATGAAGGGAATGTTTTGGTTTTGTCTTTCTAACTCTGGTACCTAGCACTGTGCTTTGCATAGTATATTTATTCTTTATCAAAAAAGAAATTAAACTTTACTAGCATATGTATGCATAATATACATACATATATATACATATACACATACATAATATATAATATGTATATATTTCCATCAATGTTGGGGCCTTCACTCAACCCATGTGTTAGAAGGCAACATATCACAATGTAAAAAGCAACAGATTGGGAGTTAGAGGACCTGTGTTCAAAGCATAGCTCTGCCACTCCCTCACTGTGTGACTTTGGGCAATTGCTTCCCTTAGCCTCCCTGTGCCTCAGTTTCTCCATTAGTAAAATGAGAGAGCTAGACTTGATGACCTCTGAGGTCCCTTTCAGTTCCAAATCTGTGACCCTGTGGTCTTTGGTCCTTTTCTTTCTTTCATCTCTTCTTGTCTAGGCTGTCACCAAATCTCATTAATTCATCAAAGCACCTCTTAGATTTTCCTTCTCACATTTATCATTTCCCCACAAATCAGGTCCATGTGCTCATCACCTTATTTCCATATTATTACAGTAATTTTCTATTTGTCCTCCCTTCTAGATTCTCTCATCTCCATCCCTAATCTAAAAACGTCACTTTCATCATGTTATTGATCTGCTCAATAAACTACAGTGACTCTCTTTTGCCTACTAGATTGAATCCAAAGACAGTCCCTTAAGACCCGTGCAATCTGGCTTCATTCATGTATTTAATCTTTCATCTCAATACTCTCCAAAGCCAATCATTGATACAAGGAATTCTCTTTAATGTCCCCCACCCAATTCTCGGCTTCTATGTACTTGCCTATTGTTCCTGCTCTTTGGACTCTCTCCTCCTCCTCCTCCTCCTCTTCATCTAGCTAAATCTTTTCCATTTTTGACATAGGGATAAAACCATTGCAGCAGGAGTTGGGAGGCCTGGGTTCAGGAGCTAAATCTACCATTTGTTTACCAGGTGACCTTAGACAAGTCACTTAACTTGAATCTCATTTTCCCAATTGATAAAATGAGGAAATCCGAATGAGGTGAACTTTAAAGGCATGACTGACACTCTGAGATTTTCAGTAAAAATTAGTCAGTGAAATTAATTTATTTAGGTCAATAAGTATGTATTAAGTTCCTCCCACGTGCCATGCACTATGCTAGTGCTGGGGCGGGGGGATATAAGGAAAGGCAAAAGACAGTCTCTACTCTCAAAGAGCTCAGTCTGTTGAGGGAGACAACCTGCAAACATTGAGGTACAACTCTGTACCTCAGATATAGATATAGACATGATCTATCAGGGATAATCAATAGAGAGGAGGCGCTAAAATTAAGGGAGATCAGGTAAAGTTTCCTATAGACAGTCTGATTTTCCAACTGGCTTTGAAGGAAGCCAGAGAAGCCAAAAGGTAGAAATGAGGAGGCAGAGAATTCCAGGCATGGAGGAGAGCCAGTGACAATGCTCAGAATTGGGAGATGGAGTGTCTTGTGTGAGGAAAAGCAAGGAGGTCAGTACCACTGGATCTTGGAGTATAGGGGCAGGGGGAGGAGTGGAGAGTGGTGTAAAATGTAAGAAGACTGGAAAGAGGGAGGGCAGGTTATGAATGGCTTTGAACACCAAACAGACAATTTTATATTTGATCCTGGAAGTTATAGAGAGCCACTGAAATTTATGGGGGGGAGGGGTGTCTTCCTGAGTCCAAATCTGGCTTCAGATACTTACTAGGTGTGTGACCCTGGGCAAGTCACTCAACCCTGTTTGCCTCAGTTTCCTTATCTGTAAAATAAGCTGGAGAAGGAAATGGCAAACCACTCCAGTATTATTGCCATGAAAACCCCAAACAGGGTCACAAAGAGTTGGACATGACTGAAAGCAACTGAACATGGACATGCATGACATGGTCAGACCTATGCTTTAGGAAGATCACTTTCGCAGCTGAGTAGAGAATGGACTGATGTAGGGAGAGACTTGTGGCAAGAGGTAGCATTAATTCTGAGCTCTAGATCTGAGTGCCACTTACCTCCTTTTGGAAACTTTCCCCAATTGCTCCAGCCTGCATTGACTTCTCTCTTCTTAAACCTTTCGTTCTACTCTACTTCATTAAACACTTAATTACATGCTGTCTTTAATGGATATTAATAATATGATAGTTTCACATTTTTAGTTGAATTTCTCCAACTATATTTTAAGCTCCTAGAAGGCACAGACATTGTGCTGTCAATTGACCTAGGTCTGAGTGATAAGTTAAGGAGAAGGATAATGTGATAACACTTAATATGGGGCCAAAATGAGAAATTAGATTCTCTTTATTTTGTGGGACTTAATTATCAAATGGTAAATATGAAGGTAAGGCTTTTTTTTTTGAGAATGTGGTACAACCAGAATGCCAACTTCCCAGCAAAGCCTATACAATTACATTCACAAAATTAAACCATCCACTCCATAGAAAGTCCAGGTGTGTCACAGTTCCTAAGTCTGTTCTCCTGCTTCCACCTTACCTTACCTATCTCCACTCTAAGCTTCTTCAGAACAGTGATTTCCAATGTGGGAGTCTGTGGTGATTTCTGACTGCACAGCAGTCCTCATCTTCTTGACCTCTCTGCAGCATTTGACCGCTCTCTCTTTTCTGGGTTGTGTTTTTTTGTTTGTTTTTGTTTTTTGACACTGCTCTCTTTTAGTTTCCCCTTTTACCTTCCTGACCCCTCCTTCACAGTTTTCTTTGCTGTGGTATCATCTGTATTATTCCCCCTAATTGTAGATGTATGCCTAGACCCTATCCTAGCTCTTATCTTCTTTCTCTACACAGTCAACAAGTATTTATTAAATGTTTACCAGGCCCTGTGCTAAGCACTGGAAATATAAACACAAACAAAAAGAGAGACAGTCCCTACCCTCCAGGAGGTTACATTCTCATGAGAAAGGACTATACATAAAAGGAAGTAGAAAAAGAGGAGGAGAAGGGAAGAAAAGAAGAAAGCACTCAGGACCAGTACATGATGAAGAAACGTACCCAGAAGGGTATAGCTTAACAAGAAAGAAGAGATGGCTGATCTATGTACCCTCTTTAAGCCCTCCTTAAATGCAGGTTCTGGGAGGAGCCCTCCAGCCTCTAGTCAGAGGGAGAGGCTTCAGGGGTAGGGGGTACCTCTGAGCTATGAGTTCCAGGGCTGAAGTGATCTTCTAAGAAGAAAAATTTCTGGGGCATGATAGAGAAATCCAGACAAAGGCATGCAGCCTGGTGGAAAATGAAGAGATGACTAGCCTGAGGACCCTCCTTAAATAAAAGTTATAGGAAGAGTCCTCCACCTTCCAGTCAGAGGGCAGTGTCCCAAGAGTACTTCATGTCTTTGTACAGGCTGGATGCCATACCTGGAATGCTTTCTCCCCTTAGACCTGGCTCTAAGGATCTTCATTTACTTTCAGGTTCTTCTCAGGTGTCACCTCCTAAAAGGAGCCTTTCTTGACCTCCACCTCTGGTTGTTAATGTCATCTTCCATCTCAGATTATTTTGTATTTATGTAAATGTTTATATCCACTAGTAGAATGTAAGCTTCTTGAGAGCGGGTTTTTTTTTTTGTCTTTGTATCCTCGGTGCCTAGCACAATTCCTTGCACAAATCACTTGATTAATAATGCTGATTGAATTGAATTGGGGAAAAGGTTTTATTTACCAGGAAAGGGCTTATGCTATGATTTTCCTCAGTTCTATATTTAGGGGGGAGGGCAAAGAGTCATTTGGGAATTTGTTTTTAACTGAAATAGACTGGCCGTTATGTGTGCTCATGTGATCTTCTTTTCCCTCTGATGTCTTCTTTAGAAAGCCCGGTTGATGAAGAGGAACAGTGGTCAGATGACTTTGTAAGTATGTCCTGCTGACATCAGTGGAAGGTATTCTGTCAGTTTGGCTCCTGGAGAAGACAATTATAGCTATTTCCTTCCAAATTATACATTTTGGGTCATTGAATGGGAAGTGACATACCAAGTTCATCTACTTTTTCTGCTATACCATATTGCTTCTTCTGACTCCTTCAGGTAATGACTTCTGACCCATTACCTTTTTGTTAGATATTTTCATGGTGTATAAAGACATCTACGTGTCTACTACACATGTTTGTTGTGTGTTATTGTGTATTTGATTAAAGCCAGACACATTTACTTGAAAGACTATCTATTCAAAGCAAAAACTACTCATTAATTCAGTTTTTTAAATGTCGTTCACAGAACTACAAAATCATACAATCTCAGAGTTGGAAGAGACCTTAGTAGTAGTCATCTGGTCCAACTCATAGCCAAAAATGTAGATAACATCATCCCCTAAATAACATAGTAGAGAAGTGGGCATCCAGCCTTTGTTTGAAAACCTCCATTGAAGGGGGCAACCCCCTCCTTCCTCAGGTGGCTCATTCTATTTTGGAATGGCTCAAATGGTTTGGAATTTTTTCCTTTACAAAGAAATCAAGTCCAAATTTGCCTCTTTGTAACTCTTGCTCCATTGTTCCAAGTTCTTGCCAAACAGAGCCAAACAAAATAAGCGTGAGCCCTCTTATACGTGACCACCTTTTGAACACTTGAAGACAGCTATCATGGTCCCCTAAGCTTTCATCTTTTGCATGCTAAACAGCTCCATTTCCTTCAACCTGCTTCAGCATGGTCTCAAAGCCCTTCAACATTCTAGTTACCCTCTTTCGTACAGTCTTCAAGTCATCAACATACTTCCTAAAATGAGATGCCCAGAACTGACTCCAGTACTTCAGATGTTGGTCTGAGCAAGTCAGAGGCAATAGGATTATCACTTCCTTAACTCTGGAAGCTAGCTTACCGCAACCTTATACTTTAAAGTACTATGTAAATGTGAGTTACTATTATTATTATTATTACTAATTATAATAATAATGAAAAGTTCAGATGTGGCCAGTTATAGAGCAAATCCCAACTGTAACAGAAGAATCAGGGGTGGGGAACCTGTGACCTCAAGGCCACATCTGGCCCTGTAGGTCCTCAAGTGCAGCCCAGGGCTACATGCGGCGTCCAGGCCACAGGTTCCCTACTCCCTGATTTAAAGTCTCACTAAAATGAGGAACTAACTGGTTAAGTAACAACTATAAAAACTGAATATGGTCATTAAAAATCGTGAAGACTCCTTGATAAAGATGCTGGAATACAATGGTTTTTTCAGTTTTGCAGAGTCAGCATTTGAGAAGGGCCTTCAGCAGCTATCTAGTTGCATTCATGCTTGAAAGGAATCCCCAGGGGCAGCTAGGTGGTGCAGTGGATAGAGGGCCGGCCCTGAAGTCAGGAGGACCTGAGTTCAAATCTGGCCTCAGACCAATCACTTGATACTTACCAGCTGTGTGACCCTGAGCAAGTCACTTAACCACAATTGCCTAAAAAGGGAAAAAAAAAAGAATCGAAAAGAATTCCCACTATCATACATACCTAACAAGGTGATGAGAGGCTATCCAATCTCTATTTGAAGGCCTCCAAGAAAGGGGGACCCAACACCTCTCTAGGTAGCCCTTTCCACTCTGGTGTAGTTCTCATTGTTAAACAGTTGTTTTCTTGATGCTGAAGTTACATTCTGAAATGCCTTTCAGAGCATTCTATGCTCTGAAAAATCCTCTTATTTTGTGAATGTGTGATTTTTAGAAATTTGGTCATGGAAATGGCATTCTTTCTCTTTTGAGACATCTCCCACTTTCCAAACATACATCAATGGGGAACAAGACAATTAACAGAACTTCACTTTACAGCTAACTTTTCATGATCACAGCTTTTCCATTGAGTAAAGTCAACCTATGTTTCTAGGACAGTGACTATGAAAATCCAGATGAACCCTCTGATTCAGAAACCTATGTAGTACCTGGAGAAGAAACTACAGATGACAGCTATGAACCTCCTCCTACAGAAAAAGAGAAAAGGAAGCTCCCTCCTGTGCTTCCATTTTCCAAGGGAGAATATGCAGGTAAGACTAATAGTCATCTCTGTAGTATCCATGCTAATGGATATAAATACAAATATATGTGTAAAGTAGAGATTTAATTTATTTCTGGACTCTATGGAGACTAAAGACCTTAGTTTTTAGGCCTGGTTCTGACACTTCCTAGCAGGATGATTATGGGCAAACTATTTAACCACTAAGAGGCTTCTCCATCTTTAAATGAGAATAATAGTATTTATAATGTTGAAAAAGTGCTTTATAAACCTTAAAATTATTTAGCAATGTAAACCATCATTATTATTTTCTTCAAATAAAGTCAATCAATCCATAAACCTTTAAAATAAACACTTACTATGTGCCAGGCACTGCGATAAGTGCTGGGGATTCAAAGAGAAAGAAAAAACGGTCCCTTCCTTTAAGAATTTACATTTAACTGGGGAGACGACACATACCTAAAAGATGCTTAGAGAGTAAAGTAGCTTTAGAGGGCTGACAGTATTAGTAGTTGGGGGCAGGAAAGGTCTCCTTCAGGAAGTGGCCTGTCAGCTGAGTCTTAAAGACAGTGAGATCTTTCTAAGAGGCAGAGCACACCAGGTCTGTAAGGGACAGGCAGAGCAAAGATCAGGATGGCAGATTGAGCATCCTGTGAAAGGAACAGAGTAGAAGGTATGCAGGTGAGTCGTGTGTAAGAAGACCGGAAAGATAGGAAGGGACCAAGCTGTGGAGAATTTTAAATGCTCAACAGATGAGTTTATAGACATAATAGAGAGCTACTGGAAGATGGTGTGGGCAGGAAGTGTGGTGGTGATGACACGGTTGGATATTGTTATTGTTCCTTTAGTCATATCCAACTCTTTGTGATCCCATTTGGGGTTTTCTTGGCAAAGATATTAGAGTGGTTTGCCATTTCCTTCTCTAATTCATTTTACAGATGAGGAAACTGAGGCAAACTGGGTTAAGTGACTTGCCCAGGGTCCCACAGCTAGTAAGTGTCTGAGGCTGAATTTGAACACAGGAAGATGAATCTTGCAGACTCCAGTCCTGGAAGACTTATCTTCCTGAGTTCAAAAATGGTCAGATATACTCTCTAGTAAAATCACTTTGGTAAATGTTTTAGAGGACAGATTGGAATGGGAAGAAAACTGAGGCAGGGAGTCTAGTTAGAAGAATATGGCAGCAGTCCAGGTGAGAGTTGATGAGCGATTGTTGAACTTGGGTGATGGCCATGTGAGTGAAAAGAGCAGAAGATATACAAGAGATTTGTGGAGAATTTATGTATTTTACTTAACAGTGAGTTTATCTCACTCAATGTTATTTCAAGGCAAACCAATTCATTCTTTCTATCAAAGACTCCTCTTAGAAGTCTAGACCAGAAAATACACTGGCCCCTGTAAGTAGGGTTTTGAGTCAAAGTGTCCTTAGAGGTCATGTAATATAACCCCTTTATTTTATGGATAAAGATACTGAGGCCCAAAGAGGTGATTTGGCTCAAGTCACGTAAACAACAGAACCAGGATTCAAACCTCGCTAGGTACTCTAACAAAACATCCAGAGCTCTCTCCACTGTATCATACCCATATGACATCCTCCCCATATTTATAACCATAATAAAACTAGCATTTATTTTTTTAAAAGTTTGCTAAGTGCTGTACATGTTCTCTATCTCCCTGGTATCCCTTCCCAGAAATCTTTTTCCCTTTGAACTTCTCTAACAGCTGCTTCTAAATGAACATTGTCTTCCCATGTTTCCCTTTATTAGTGTAGCTTGAGACAAAGATCTGAAGGTCAGAGTTAGTTTGTAGCCCAAACATGCCTTATTCTGTGTAGGGAAAATGGCATGGTTATAACTCAAAAAACTGGTTTATATTTAAAAACAAAATGTTCAAAAGGCCTAAAAAAAACTGGTTTGGAAAAGTGTCTGAGGGGCAGCTAGGTGGTGAAGTGGATAGAGCACCAGCCCTGAAGTCAGGAGTACCTGAGTTCAAATCCGGCCTCAGACCAAACACTTGACACTTACTAGCTGTGTGACCCTGGGCAAGTCACTTAACCCCAATTACCTAAAAAAAAAAAGTCTGAAAGCTGGAGAAAAGAAATTCATTGGGATGGGGGCAGGGAATGTGAATTAACAGTTTTTAAGTATTTAAAAGGCTATAAGGTGGAAGAGAGATAAAATTTGTCACAATTAGCCCTAAAGGATAGAACTTGTAGCATTGGGTGAAAGTTATTAAGAGGCATATTTAGACTTAATATAAGAAAAAACAACTTCTTAATATTAAGAGTTATCCTCAAATGGAATGGACTGACTTGGAAGGTAGTGCATTCCACCTCTAGGGAGGTCTCCAAACAAAACCTAGATAATGGACCACTTGTTGGATATGATGTAGAGGGGAGTCAGGTATGGATTGAACTGGATGGACTCAGTAATCTTTCTCACTTCGAGATCTGTGACTATGACTTTTAGTAATCCATGATTGATTAATTCCACTGTTTGATTCTTGACCTGAATATTTAGATTATTCTAATAGGAGGATGTGGAAAGTAGAGAGATGGATTCAGAGCCCAGACCTACATCACAATCTAGGAGACATGCAGGGGAAGTGTAAAAATCCTGCTCCATTTTCTTTAAGTCCATTTGCCTTGATTGGGAAAGAAAGCACTTCACTAACAAGAACTAAGAAGGGTTGAACAGTGTCATCCTCCTCCAGTATATCCAAGGAACAGGAGCAGGAGCAGGAACCGTAGTCCTTATCATTCCTTCCCTTTTAGGTACATTGCCTCATTTTAATTGATCTCCCAACAACCTTATGAGATAAAGCAGAACAGGTATTATCTCTATTTTAAAGAGAAGGAAACAGGCTTAGGAAGTCAAATGATTTCCCTGAGACCATATAAATACCAAAACAAGAACTAGAACCCAGGTCTTCCAACTCTCAGCTCAGTACTCTTCTGAATTTATTTAACCCCAAATTTTGTTCAAAGGCTAAGAGTTATTAGAGAAAACATAGTTTATAATAATTATTACTGACAAATAGCATTAATGGATGACATTTATATAGCAACCTAAGTCTTTCTTTTTTCACATTTAATTTTTTCAATAACATGTAAACATTTTTAACATTCATTTTTTAAAATTTTGAGTTCCAAATTCTCTGCCTCCTTTCCTTTCACCCCCTTGAGAATGTGAGCAATTTGATATAGATTATACAGGTACAATCCTGCAAAACATTTCCATATTATCCATGTTGCAAAAGAAAACACTGACCAAAAAAAAAATAAAGGTCCAATCTGCATTCAGAATCCTTCTATTCTTCTGGAAGTGGATAGCTTTTTCTTTTTTCTTTTTTTTTTTTTTTTTTTATCATAAGTCCTTCAGGGTTTTCTTGTATTATTGTATTGCTGAGAGTAGCTAAGTCTTTCACAGTTGATCATCCTTACAATATTCCTGTTACATGTGCAATGTGCTCCTGGTTCTGCTCATTTCACTTTACATCAGTTCATGTGAAGTCTTCCCAGGTTTTTCTTAAAGCATCCTGCTTATCAACAGTACAATAATATTCCATCACAATCATATACCACAACTTGTTCAGCCATTCCAATACTGAATCTTTCAAAGCAATTCACATACATAATCTCATTTGAGACCTACAACAACACCGTGAAGGAAATGCTATTGTTATCCTAATTTTATGGATAAGAAATTGAGACAAGTTAGGTGGCTTGCTAATGATTATGTAGCTAGGAAATACCACAGGTAGAATTCAAACTTAGGCACTCATACTTTAATTCCAGTATTCTTCTTCATTAAAGAGGAAACTCTCCCTCCCCCAAAAGAAAAACAAAGAAACTACTGGTATTTTGCTGCCCAGGTGACTAAAAGGATCAGCAGACCTGAGCACCTTGAAATACTGCCAAAGAAAACTGTAAATGAAGCTAGAATAACACAAATGTTGGATGCAGAGTATAAAACAAGGACCCAGATCCCAATAAGTTAAGACTTATAAAATTGCACATTAGCTTTTCTTATCTCTTTGCTCCAAAAGGGGATTTCTTTCCCCCAAAGTTCAATTGAAACAAGAGTTAAATGTTAGTATCTCTTGACAAGGAAATACAAGATTGCACAAACTTTTTAATCACTGATTGCATAATACAAACATTCCTGTGTGTTTTCAAATCCCCATCTGAAGAAGCAGAGAGCGAATAGGGCTATACCACACCTGTCTGGTAAGGTCGCCCTCCAGTGGTGAGCAAGTATACCAGGACTTTCATTTAAAGTGATAGCTAAAAAAAAAAAATTAGGAAATCTCTGTTATGGTCAGTTGTCAGTTACTCCCAGATGACTCAGATTTCATAGGATGTTAGAGTAGAAGGAACCTCTGAAACATTGTCTACAATATCCTTGTTTTACACGTGAGGAAAATGAGACCCCGGGAAGCTCAAGTGATTTGCTTTAAGTTAGGTCCAGAGGGAGGACTTAGAACCCAGGTTTACTGAATCTTAGCCCAGTGTTCTTCCTACTACACCACACTGTCACCCCCCCAATGTATGGAAAATGATTTATTTGTCAGAAATCTTGCTTTTTAGTTGTTGTAATGTTCATTTATTCTGCTTTATTGAGACACTAAATAGGATTGTGGATGTCTACTTCCATATTCAGTTGGCAGCCTAGCAGAGAAAGCCTTTGAAAATGAAATATTATCTCCCCTTCCAAAGGAAACAGAGAAGAAAGAGAAGGAGGAAGAGGAAGAGAGAGAGAGAGGTGAAGAAAAACATTTCTTCACTATAACCAAGACACTGTTTTCTGAGAAGTCCTGTCTGACCCATGGTTCCTATGAGTTCCCATAAAAATCCTACACCCAGAGGAAGTATAAAGGCTTTGGCTATGGAGACAGAAGGCCTAGGTTCAAACCCCAATCACTTAACGTTTTCAGTTCAATCAGATTTTTTTTCTATAGAAAAGCATCTATTACTTTACGACATAAGGCAATGACAAAATAGGATTCTATGTATGAAATTGTGCTGTATACCTCTCAGGAATGACTTTTATTTAAAAAAAAACACTCAAATGAATTCCAAACACTGAACAATTGGGAGTTAAATTTATGTTGTGTATATGTGTGTGTACTTTCCTTTAAAGATAATCGATCAAACCAGAGACATTCTCCACCTTTCAGCAAGACACTTCCAAATAAAGCAAGTTGGCCTTCCCAGAAAACAAAGCACTCATCTTTGCAGGTACCTCTTCGGCAGAAGCCTCAGCTCTCATCAAAGCCAAAAAACTGCTCAGAAGATGAGGTAATTCTCATGCTAATGGTAAAAGCTCTTCCATACACTTGGTTGCAAAGGCCTCCTTGGTCTCTGGGCTAACCTTTGCAAAACACTGTGTCAGTCAACAAACACATATTAAGCACCAACTTTTTGCTAGACACAAGTGATATGAAGACAAAACCAAAATAGTCCCTGCCCTCAAGGAGCTTATAGTCTGAGTATACAGCATGTACACACATGTAAGGAGATACCAAATATGTACAAAGTAAACAGTGAAGGGGAGGGAGTCTTACCACTCTGGGGTCTTCATCCTCATAACTGCTCAATACTCTTTTATGTATCAATTCCTACAATCCTTCAGTCATAATGCCAGAAACATAGTCCCTGCCTTCAAGGAGGGCCTTCTAGTGGGGGAGGCAAAATAAATTACAAGTTGACACAAGATAGTCTCAAAGGGACTATCTGATTGGGTAGGTGGGGAGCATGTAAAGGCCTCCTATAGAAGGTGAGATTTGAGTTGGGTCTTGAAGGAAGCCAGGAAAGTTAAGAGGCAGAGACAAAGAAAGAGAATATTCTGTGCACAAGAAAAGCTTTATGTAGGATCTCATTTTAGCATTTTCTTAGAAGCAGACTATATGCAGAAATTTTGTACTAATGTGTACTACCCCAGAAATAGTTATGGAACTATTGAAAATATAAATAGTGAATTGATGTGTGGGGACATATACCTGGGACCCAGACATCCCAAAGTAGGGCAGGGTTCCCAAGAGCTTAATAAATGCTCATCAACTGCCTGGCGACATTGGTAATGGCCCTGAGTAATGGTATGATGCCAACTCTGGATCAGTCGCCCTCACCTTTGTCCCCTTCCTATCACCCTTCAATTCCTTTTATCCCTCCATTTTTCTTTTCCCTTCCTTCCCTTTTGCTTTTCTGCTCCACTGAATTTCTTCCTAATTCTGCCTTCTCTCTGATCCTTTGACTGTCTGCTTTCTCTCCCGAGATGGAAAAGAAGAGAAGATGGGGAAAGAGGAGTTTGTGATATGGTGTCCATTTTAAAAGGTATCCCTGGGAGGAATTATGAAGTAGGTACCTTCCCACCTCCTCTAAAAGCTGTTCTTACCCCCTCCTTCTACACCATCCCTCACACATTGGCTCCTTTCCTAAGGTGCTCCATCAACAGAAAGTCAACTTGTCTCTGGCCTGGTAAATAGTTGGTACTTTTTAAACAGTAAGCTATGTGTTTAAAATTCACATTAATTTTCAAGAGAATATGGGTTTCTTTGAAATTATGGTTTAAAGGGAAAGTAATAGGTTTCTAGGGATGATCTTTTTGTTACTTTCTCTTTGTAGTACAATGTAGACAATATCACTACGGGAAAAGGTTTACTTATTATCTAGTACTCCCTAGTATGCTTTCTCACATGTGGGCGTCCTAGAAAATCTAGCCTGTTTTCAACGTACACAATGGGTCAGTATCCATTCAAAGCCATGGGATCATGACATCCCATAGCTAGAACCAGAAAAGCCCTTAGAGACCATTCAGTCCAACTTCCTTTTACAATGAGGAAACAGAAGCCCAGAGAGTGACTTGCCCAAGGTCTCAAAGGAGTGAGTGTCAAGGCAGGATTTGAACTGAGGCACCTTGGTTCCCAAGCCAATGCTCTTTCCACTGTACTCCTCTGATTGTGTTCTTTTGCCAGCCAGATACATATTAGTTCAAACAAAACAAATGTCTATTTGACAGCAAAGCAAACAAAATGACATGAGAAGATTCCTTTTATGCGCACATGAAAGCATACTCTTCCTCAGGGCACCATGCTTTAAGTAAGAAGGGTCCACACATAAGGAACATGTGTACCCTCTCCACTGGTGGTATAATGTATCCACTTATAATGTATAATATAGCCACTTGTGGGATAATGTAACCTATGTGTGCCCATCATAGTGGGGTAGGGGGAGAAGAGGTAAATTTCTTTCTTCACTTCAGTTACTATGCTATTTGACTAAATGTCTTTGAATTAACATGTCCTCTGACACACATTCATAACTACATCAGTAGGGGATCATGAGGTTTTGAGTGGGTACTGACCCACTTAGTATATTAAAGCAAACTTGGGGTAGCTTTTGGGGAGTATCTCCATACAAGTGGAGATGCACGGGGGAACATTCCAATGACCATATTTGTTATCAGTCTATGCAGAATGGGGAGAAATCAATAGGAGAAAATAAGAGGGAAAAGAGGGGGTGAAGGGGACAGGAGGAGGTGCAAGATTTGTAGTAGAGAAGGCTGCAGCAGCCTGGCTAGCTAGGACTGTCTTTTTGCCATGGTGGCATTTGTGGTGAGGAACTAGCTCTTACCACAGCCTGAGGGTGGGAGCCCTGTGGTTGTGGATGACAAAATCCCAGACCAAGGTGGGCTCAGTGCCCAGGTTCCCTTGGCCCCAACCACAAGATTTCATAGTGTTATTTCTCTTGGTCTCAAGGTCCCTTCCCAACCCACCCCTGTGTGTTCTAGGTCCACAAGTCCCATAACCTTATGTCTGATTAAGGCATGGTCCAGTACCAAGGGTGACAATCACATCAAGGAAGGTGGGCAACCAAGAGTCATGTTGAGACAGAAGGATTCTTGAGGTCATCTCCCCTAGAGCTTTTCCTGTCAATGTAGGACTGTCCTCTGGAGAACACTAAGCACTGATTGCTTTTGTCTCTGTATTTTTAAAGACTGATTATGTGGTTCCTGTTGAGGATGAAGATGAAAACTACATCCATCCTACAGAAAGCAGTTCACTCCCGTCTGAGCAAGGTAAGACCATGGACATTTTAGATAAATTCTAGCACATGGTCAGAGCACATGCGGCTATTTGGTGATAAGTGTGGGCTTAAAAACAGACATTTTAACTGAGCAGCTATAATTTTCTTTGGCTGCTAGGCCCCTGGGCTGCAGGTGGGTCAATACCATGTTGAGAATGTACCCTCTCCCTGATCCATGATATTTTCACATTAGCAAATTAAATTCAGGTATGTTGACAGATTGACTCAACGTAACTTAAAATGAGGAATAATTTCATGAATAGTTACACAGGGGATGGAGCCAAGATGGTGGAATGAAAGCAGTGACTTGCTTGAGCTCTCCCCCAAACCCCTCCAAATACCTGTAAAAAATGGCTCTAAACAAATTCTAGAGCAGCAGAACCCACAAAAAGACAGAGTGAAACACATTTCCAGCCCAAGACAACCTGGATGGTTGATTGGAAAGGTCTATTGCACTCAGCTGGAAGAGAAGCGCAGGTCAGCATGGGCTGTGCAGGCAAAAATAGGGCCTCAGTGAACCTAGAGCAGGCCTGAGAAGACTGAATCACAGGCAGCTGTGGCGGTTTCCAGACTTCTCAACCCACAAACGCCAAAGACAGCTTAGAAAGTCAGTAGGAAAGGTCTGTGACTGCAGTGAGAGAAAAGCTCTGTCCCAGCCTCACTCACAGTACAGCCCTGGAGCTGTGGCTGCTTCCAGAGTTCCTGGCCCACAGGGGGAATAGAGTGGCTGATCAGAGGGGGGTTGCAGGGATCTCTTTACTGGTGCTGAAACAGGATTCTCTTGCTTTGCCTGTGCTTGGATCTGGGTCACAGTTCTGGGTGGCAATCCTGGGGCAAGAAGGCGTGCTGGCATGGTGGAGCTTGTGGTGATGGTGAAGAGAAAATCCTTCTCACAGTTCCAAGGCAGAAAAGAGTGCTTGTGGTCATTCGTAGACCAGAGCACAGGCCAGGTATGCTCTTGATCATACCACCTTGGAAGAACTGAAAATTTACAGGTCCCTACAAGTATCTCTGAAAACTGCTGCACAAAACCCCCCAAAGCTTGGGACAGTACATTCTCCACACTGGAAGCAGACCCCTACCTTAACAAAGAGTTTAAAACTCAAGTTATTGGCTGGGAACATGAGCAAACTGTGCAAAAAAAAAAAAAGTCAGACCATAGAATCTTTCTTTGGTGACAAAGAAGATCAAAACATACAACCAGAAGAAGACAACAGAGTCAAAGCTCCTATGTGGAAGAGCTCAAAAAGGATTTTTAAAAAAATATTTTTAGGCAATTGGGGTTAAGTGACTTGTCCAGGGTCACACAGCTAGTAAGTGTCAAGTGTTTGGTCTGAGGCTGGATTTGAACTCACGTTCTCCAGACTTCAGGGCCGGTGCTTTATCTACTGTGCCACCTAGTTGCCCCCGCAAAAAGGATTTTGAGAAGCAAGTAAGAGCAGTAGAGGAAAAAGTGGGAAGAGAAATGAGAGTGATGCAAGAAAATCATGAAAAACAAGTCAACTGCTTGCTAAAAGAGACCCAAAAAAATACTGAAGAAAATAACACTTTCAAAAATAGCCTAACCCAAATGGCAAAAGAGGTCCAAAAAGCCAATGAGAAGAAGAATGCCTTAAAAAGGAGAATTTGCCAAATGGAAAAAGAAGTCCAAAAGGTCACTGAAGAAAATATTTCCCTAAAAGTTAGAATGGAGCAAATGGAAGCTAGTGACTTTATGAGAAATCAAGACATTGTAAAACAAACCACAAGAATGAAAAAATGGAAGACAATGTGAAATATCTTATTGGAAAAAAACAACTGACCTGGAAAATAGATCCAGGAGAGATAATTTAAAAATTATTGGACCATCTGAAAGCCATGATCAAAAAAAAGAGCCTAGACATCATCTTTCAAGAAATTATCAAGGAAAACTGCCCTGATATTCTAGAACCAGAGGGTAAAATAGAAATGGAAATCCACCAATCAGCTCCTGAAAGAGATCCCGAAAGGAAAACTCCTAGGAATATTGTAGCCAAATTCCAGAGTTCCAGGTCAAGGAGAAAATATTGCAAGCAGCCAGAAAGAAACAATTCAAGTATTGTGGAAACACAATCAGGATAACACAAGATTTAGCAGCTTCTACATTAAGGAACTGGAGGGCTCAGAATGTAATATTCCAGAGGTCAAAGGAGATAGGATTACAGCCAAGAATCACCCACCCAGCAAAACTGAGTGTAATCAGGGGAAAAAAATGGACATTCAGTGAAATAGAAGACTTTCAAGCATTCTTGATGAAAAGACCAGAGCTGAATAGAAAATTTAGCTTTCAAATACAAGACTCAAGAGAAGCATGAAGAGGTAAACAGGAAAGAGAAATCATAAGGGATTATGAAGGTTGAACTGTTTACATCCCCTGCATAGAAAGATGATATTTGTAACTCATGAGACCTTTGTTAGTATTAGGATAGTTGGAGGGGAAAAAAATTATGTAGATAGATAGATAGATAGATAGAGGGCACAGGGTGAGTTGAAGATGAAAGGGTGATATCTGGAGAATAAAATTAAGGGGTGAGAGAGGATTATGCTGGGAGAAGGAGAAAGGGAGAGGTAGAATGGGGTGAATTATCTTACACAAAACACAAGAAAAGGCTTTTATAGTAGAGGGGAAGTGGGGGAAGGTGAGAGGAATGAGTGAATCTTGTTCTCATTGGATTTGTTTAAGGAAGGAATACCATACACATTTAATTGGGTACAGAAATCTATCTTACCCTACAGGAAAATAGGGGGAGAAGGGGACAAGACAGCAGGGAGATGATAAAGAGAGGGCAGATTGGAGGAGGAGGTAATCAGAAGCAAACATTTCTGATGAGGGACAGGGTCAAAAGAGAAAATAAAATAAATGAGAAGGCAGGATAGGATGTTTTCCATCACATGACTACTATGGAAGTTTTGCATGACTACACATGTATAATCTGTATTAAGTTGCTTGCCTCCTCAGTGAGGGTGGGTGGGGAGGCAGGAAGGGAGAAATTTTGGGACCCAAAACTTTAAAAACAAATGTTAAAAATTGTTTTCACATGCAGCTGGGAAATAAGATATAGAGGCAGTGGGGTATAGGAATCTATCCTGCCCTACAGGAAAATGGAAGGGGAAGAAAATAAGAGAAGGGGGGAGGGAGATAGAAGGGAGGGCAGATTAGAGAAGGGGGGTGGATGGAGCAATGAGATGGGGAGAAAATTTGGAACTCAAAATCTTATGGAAGTGAATGTTGAATACTAAAAATAAATAAATTAATAAAAGTATAAAGAGATTTAAAGAAGAAAAAACACAAAAAATAGTTACATAAAGTTTAATTCTTTTAAAATTAAATTTTATTTAAATTATTTTATCTATAGTATGGACTTATTAAATGAATACTATATCCTAGGCACTGTGTTTAGTGTTGGGGCTACAAATATACAGTCCCTGCCCTCAAGAAGCTTACATTCTCATGGGAAGATACAACACATATAGGGGACTGGTAGCCAGGGGAAAGTTTTGATCTAGGAAGTTACAGGGATGGCAAGTAGAGCAATTGGCTCTAGATTGATAGACTCTTTCCAAAAGCAATGATGGTATTGATTCCATTAAGGCCTTAGTTTTTGTTGTTCTTCAGTCATTTCAGTCCTGTCTTAGTCTTCATGAGCCCATTTTGGGTTTTCTTGACAAAGATACTAGATTGGTTTGCCATTTCCTTCTCTAATTCATTTTATAGATGAGGAAACTGAGGCAGACAGGGTTAAGTGACCTGCCCCGGGTCACACAGCTAGTAAGTGTCTGTGGCCATACTTGAACTCAGGTCTTCCTGACTCCAGGCCCGGTGTTCTATCTACTGTGCCACCTAGCTGCCCTAACACCTTAGTACAGGAGAGATAATGGGCAGCTAGGAGGCATAGTAGATAGAGTGCTGGACCTGAAGTCAGGAAGGCTTGTTTTCCTGAGTTCAAATCTGACCTCAGACATTTACTAGCTGAGTGACCTTGGGCAAATCACTTAACCCTGTTTGCCTCAGTTTCCTTATCTGTAAAATGAGCTGGAGAAGGAAATGGCAAACCTTTCCAGCATTTTTGCAAAGAAAACCTCAAATGGGGTCATAAATGACTGAACAACAGCAATAGCAACAGATGGGAAACTGAGGGGTGGGGGAAGATGTCAACCTGACCTGGAATGAAGATGAAATGAAAAATCTTATCAGCAGACATTTCAAAATTATATATTTAGAGAGAAAATTATGCTTCTCTTTAGAATTTAAAATACTTCAATAAAATTATTACTAAAACAACAATTCTAATTATAATTTCAATTAAAATATATATATTATATGAAATTGATTACTATATTAAAACTATATTAAAATATAAGCTTTTTGAGAAGAGGGTCTGTCTTGCTTCTGTGTTTGTGTCCCTACTACAAAATACAGGGCATAGTAAGCACTTAATAAATGTTTCTTGTTTGATTATGATGATTTGTTTTTAATACTTTTGAAATATCAAAATGCATGCATATTCTATGCAGACACCGAAAACATTTATCATAAACTGTGCTTTCTTGAGACCAGATTCATGGAAGAGAACAGTGGTCCCTATGGGCCTGATCTGTTCCAATTGTCTTTACCTCTATCTCAAGAAAAATATTCTTTTTCTTTTCTTTTAGGCAAATTGGGGTTAAGTGACTTGCCCAGGGTCACACAGCTAGTAAGTGTCAAGTGTTTGGTCTGAGGCCGGATTTGAACTCAGGTCCTCCTGACTTCAGGACTGGTGCTCTATCCACTGCGCCACTTAGCTGCCCCAAGAAAAATATTATTTTAAAAACTCTCAGTTAAGCAAAGTGAAGTGAGCAGAACTAGGAGAATATGGTACATAATAACAGCAATATTGTAATGACAATCAAGTATGAAAGACTTGGCTATTCTGATCAATGCAATGATCCACAACAATTCCAAAGGACTCATAATGAAACATGCTAACCACCTTGAGAGAGAGAGAACTGATGAACTCTGAGTAAAGACTGAAGGATTTTTTTCACTTTATTTTCTTGCCTTTTTTTCCCCTTGCAATATGACTAACAAGAAAATGTGTTTTGTATGACTTAATATGTATGATGGGTATCACGTTTCTTGCCTTTTCAATGGGTGGGGGAGGGGTGGAGGGAAGGTGAGAATTTGAAACTGAAAATAAAAATTTTAAAAATATTTTTAAAAGAAAGAAAAAAGTAAAAACTCCCATTTAGGAAATTCCATTCTGAAAAATGCAATGACAAAGATGCATTCTGTGTGGCAAAGCTATTTTCATACCTCTTTAGATTATTCTTGGGAATCATTCTTTATATGGCTTCTGAGACTGATGACATGGCACAGCTCTGCCTCACTTAAATGCAATTGACACGCAAGTCCAGATGTCACTTTCCTGTGATGTCACTGGTCCTCTTCTAGAATGAAGGACGAACAACAACAATTCTGGACAATAAATATAGTTAAATGTTTTGTCTGACCTAGTCATGTGATAATTAAGTTAGTTTGCTTTAGAAGGAGACCTGACCTAAGCTTCTGTTCCTCCAGAAAGTAGTAATTGTCCTTACCTGCTATCAGCCTTTATCTTCTCAAATATCACAACCACCTACACAAAATCTGTCTGAGTTCCCAGAACACACATGGAGACAAACACCATCAAAAATAAGGTGTAGATGTGGCAGAGGGGGAAAGTGTGGGCGTGGGTGTGTGTGTGTTGTGTGTGTGTGTATGTGTATGATGTGAGAGAGAAAGATTTTGGAAATTAATCCCATTTTATCTATAGGTCCAGCAATGTTAGTACTGTTATTTCTAGCAAAATTCTATTACAGTAAAATAATTTTAATGTTCCATGGGGTTGTTAAATATGATTTTATTGACATTTTTCTCAAAAGGTTTATTTTTTATTTTTTTCCTAATAACTTACCTACTTTGCTGTTTGGCATTATTTGTAAGGGATTTCATTTGACCCATTCAGTAGGCTATCAGATACTCATGAAAGAATCTTTCCATGATTTGGTTTTGCCATAAATATGAATTTTTCTTAGGTAGGGCATGTCTTTAATAATTAATTATTTATTTTTAAGCTCCCAAGGTGAACAGATCCATCAAGCCTTCTAGTTCTGCACCACCAGCCTCTCCTCCATCCGTACCTGCTTTAGCCCCAGGTAGAGTATAGACTTTTTTTTTTTAAATCGGACTAAGTTGAACAATTTTAGATGGATCGCATATCAGGACAAAGATTAGGACACAAGAATTTTAAAGCTAAAAGAATTTTGACATCTTCTGAAAGGGAGCACTTAGAAGGATATATATTTCTGAGCACCATATAGTATCTTTAGAAAAAATATACTATAAATTAAGGCACAGAAAATTTACAAGTAAATGTAAGAAAGCAGAAATACTGAATATATCCTTTATAGATCATAATGTGACCAAAAAAGTCATCAACACAAGGAACAGAAGCAAAAGACTGATCTAAATGGAGACTGGACAAATAATAATTAATAAATATGTGAAAGGCTTCCTTCCATTACAATTACCTTTCATCAATGTTGGGGTTTATGTGGTTTTTCTGTTTTGTAAAAATTTATTCTGTTTTGTAAAAAAAAAATTATTGGCTCATGTTTTATTCAAATGAAGAATTTTTTAAAACTTTTATAATATATTCATTTTAACATATGATAACCATGATAAGGCTAATCCTGATTATCTGGAGGGAAATAGCTAAAACTTAGAAATATTAATTAGCTTGTCCAGATTAATTTGTGAAAATTAGTTAGAAGTGCTGGATTTATCATTGTACCCCAGGTTCTGTGTCCTTTATTAACCATTACTTATTAGAAGCAGCTCAGAGCCAAAAGCAGCATCTGCATCCACACAACATAGATAGCTCCTATCCAAACTAGCTGACAACTTAAAACCCATGGTGATTTAACTATGGTAAGGAATTTAAGAGGATACATCACAAGTCCTTATTTTTTCAATGGAAGGGCAGGACAAGGCATGTATTTCTGATTCCCTGCAAAGTAGGTACTACAAAAGGATTGTATTTCTCTGTTATTCTTCCAGAGAAAGCAGTGGGTTTTTTGAAATTCCTTTTCATTCTATCAGCTCCTCCATCATCAACTGCCTAGTCAGCATTTCTCATTAGATATACCATAAGCATCTCAAACTCAGCATATCCCAAAACAGGACTCATTTATCTCTCCCAACTACTTGCGACTTACCCACACCTTTATATCCTCTCTATTTATGTCAAGGATACCACCATGCTTCCAGTCACAGTGGTTCCCAAACTTGGATTCGTCATCAACTATCTGCCCCACCCTGCCACTGTCACACACACCTGTAGCCAACCAATTACCAAGGCTTGTCAATTCTACCTGCCCAGTGTCTCTTACATCTGCCCTCTTCTTTCCACTCAAACAGCCTGACTATCCTAACTCAGGTCCTTATCACTCCTCACTTGAACTCTTGCAATCCCCTCTTAACTGGTGTCCTTGCCTTCAGACTCTCCCTTCTCTAATCCATCCTTCTTGACACAGTTACAAAATCGATTTTCCTAAAATTCAAGACCAACTATGTCACTGCTATTCAATAAGTTTCACTGGCTCCTGTTCTCCTTTATGATAAAATAAAAACTCCTTGTTTCCCACGTGAAACTCCTCAAATCCAGCTAAAGCCTACTTTTCCAGGATTGTTACACATTACTCTCCTTCATATGCCTATGTACCAGTTACACTGGCCAACCTGTTATTCTTCATATACAACATTAAATTTCTCACCTCTATGCCTTTGCATAGGTTTGCCCTTTTTCTCTGAATGCATTCCTTCCATACCTCTAAGCACAGTACTTACATATATGTGGGTGCATGTAAGTACTATGTGTATATATGTACATATACATGTCTATATAATATTTACATATATACACATCTTTATAAGCATATAAATGTATGTAGAGATGGATGGATGGAGAGATGGATAGACAGATATAGATAGATGGAGGGATGGATGGATGGATAGATGGATGGATGGATAGTATCCTCTGAACAGAAGCTCTTTGAGAACAAGGACTGTTTGATTTTTGCTTTTGTATCTTCAGCACCCAGCACACTGTTCTGATGTGTAGTAAGTACTTAACAAATACTTTTCTATTACCTCAATAATGAGAGGCTACATTTACATCATGCTTTAAGGTTTACAAAGCATTTTATATATGTCATCTTATTTAATCTTCATAAACTGATTTTTTTGTGTAGAGCCCAAGTGTCTCCCAATTTAATAAATAAAATTTATATTTCTTACTTCAGGAGAAGAGTATGAAGTCCCTGTGACTGAGGTAAGATCCAGTTCAATGTACAAATTCCCCTCTTGAAGGTGAGATTTCTGTTGCAGGTTTAATACCCTACGATCTTAAGTGTTTTTTGAGCTGTACAAAAGAAAAAAAGTTCGTATGTAATCCTGTTTTTCTTTTCTATGTTTATGAAAGAGTTCATATTTATTGATGTCAAAATAATAAATTACAAATTCTTTAAAATAAAAAAGCCAGTTCACCAATATTTTAGGCAGCATTGAAAATGGTATGCTATGCAATACCTATCCTCAAGATCAGATTATGACTGTTGATTATCAGTTTTTACGATATTCCTAATAAGATAGCATAGGGTAGTAGATAGTATAGTGAGTCCTGTCTTGGAGTCAGAAAGTCCTGGGTTCAACATCTGACTCCTGTGAGCTGTATAACCAGGGTAAGATACTTTTCTGCATCTGTAAAACGAAGATCAGGGAGGCAGCTGAGTAGTGCAGTGAATAGAGCACCAGGCCTGGAGTCAGGAGGTCTGAGTTTCAGATCTGACCTCAGACACTTACTGTCTGTATGACCTTGGGCAAGTCACCCTACATCTTAATTTCTTCAAAAAGTAAATAGTGTTGGACCAGAATAAGGTGATGAGGCATCTCTGAGATGACTTCCAGGTCTAGATCTGTGATCCTTTAACTTTTCAAAGCAGTTAACTAATTTTCTATTAATATGAGGTAAGTAGGGAATGTGATGTCCTGATCTTCCAGAGAGGGAAACTGAGGAACAGTGACTAGCTAGTCATTGTTAGAGAGAGAATTGGGACTCGGGTTTCTTGAAATCTAGACCTGTATGTTTTCCATTGAGCTACACAGCTTTCTTCCTCTGTCCCCAAATAAACAGACTAGGGACCACATATGCCACAGCTGTAGAGAGCTGAAGTTCTGATTCTTATTTGAAGAAATTCCTGCTTCTTCTCTGTGTAGAGGGAGGATCAGGAAAGAAGATGAAGAGTTTGGAGACCCTAGATGCAAGATATGACAGAAAGGAAGTTTAGAAATAAAAAACAAAAGATCTGACAAGTCTTCTGTCAAATCACAAAAGAGGTCCTTGGAATTTTTTTTTCAAGTGAAATCACTAATACAAAATTCTCAGCTTATGCTTACTTTTCTTTTTTTTTCTTTTTCAGACACCACCTTTTTCCCCATACCAAAAACCATCCATCAAAACCTGTGAGTAGCTCCTGATATCACAAAGCCCTGTTGTCAAGTTTTGAGTATTTTAAGTAAAGGATCAATTTGCCACTCTTTTAGGAATCTTTTAATTCAACAAATATAAATAAGCTCATATTACATCTATGGATCAAAGATTAAATTTACTTGTCTGGAGAATTAAAAAACCAAGTGTACCAGTTTATTTTAAATGCTATCTGACATATAGGTGTAGGATATGCCCACCTGCCATGAGTTCAGGGATGCTGATGAAGTCGCACCATCCCCACCCCTTATCCCTCCTGAACCTGTTGTTGCCTTAAATTCCAGGCAGATCATAATGAGAGCCAGTAGTAGGATAGTGGCAATGGGAATAAAGATGGATGGATTTAAGGGATACTGTGGAGGTAAAACCACTGGGACTGAGTAACTGAATGCATGTTAGAAGTGGGGAAAACAATCCAAGATGGCGCCCAAATTAGTAACATGGGAGCTGTGGATAATGGTGCTACTACATAGAAATAGTCATTGGTTTCAAAGTCTTATTAGTTGCTCCCACATTGGCCCCAGTGACTGTTGGCCCCCTAGATGCCAACCAGTCAGTAGGAAAAGATGCAGAAAACCCCTTGCAACAGCAGAGGTAAAGCTTATAGTTCCTAGCTTCTTTTCATATGATGCATGTTCAACATCTGACTCCTGTGAGCTGTGTAACTCAGGGCAAGATACTTTTCTGCATTTGTAAAATGAAGATCGGGGGGGCAGATGAGTAGTGCAGTGTTGTCAAATTTTGAGTATTTTATGGAAAGGAAATCTTAATTTCTCTTCCTCATCACCTCCTTTCTCCTCCCTTGATCTCCCCTATCCCAAATTACTCCCTTATAACCCAAGCCCAGTCTTACTGTCTTCCCCCTCTCCTCAGAATAAACACGGGTGCTCTGTGGTCATCTTTCTATTATGAAAGCATGACTTTCATCCTCCTTGGTCACTGAGCAGGCTTTGGAGGACGTCCTCCCTCCCATTTTTTGTCTACCTTCTTTATTTTCCAATTGTCACCATAAAACTACCATGTCCTATCTTGTGAGGTCTCAATTCCACATCATTGTCCCAAGGAGGGATAAGTAACAAGATTCATAGAATCACAGAATTTCTGAGTTAGAATAGCCTAAGCTATAACAGAATTAGAATCCCCATCACAACACGGATGACAAATGGTCATACAGGTTCTGCTGGAAGACCTCCAAGGGGGCAGAACCTTCCACTTCTTCGGGTGGAACCTGCTACCTCCTGAGGAAACCCACTGCACTTTTCGATAGCTCTGATAGTTAAGAAACTGGCTTCTTTGCAACTCTCCTTTCCTCTCCCCATTGTTCCTAGTCCTGCAAAACAGAATGTCTAAAGCCTCTTTTACTTTGCAGCTGTAAATACTTTGACAGTTATGCCCTCCATACTCCTAGCCTTCTCTTTTCCAGGATTTAGCACCCCCATAATTCTTTCCCACACACTAAGACCAGGATTCCTCTAGCATTATATCACAAAGTGACCAGGACCAGGAATCTATTCCACTCACCTCCTCCCAACTTCCATTACTGTCCCAGAAAGTGACTAGGTCGGGGATTTTTCCTTCTGCCCTAAAGCTCAGTCCTTGCTACACTGTCCTGAAAATCTTTCCATATTTGCCATCAGTCTCACATGTGGCAGCCCCAGCATCTCATGACAACTAAAGAGGTTGTAGCGGAAAGGGTAGAGAGTGACCTAGGGTGACATGAGGCTATGGGGTTCTCGTTCTAGGTCCCTCTGTTTTCCCTTAGTGAATTTCTTTTTACCCCCAAACAGATGAACCCATGAAAAACATTTCTAGGAAACTCCTAGCAGGATCCACATCTGGATTCCTACCCATGCAAGTCTTCCCAGGTTTTTCTGAGAGTATCCTGCTCATCATTTTTTAAAGTATAATAGTATTCCATCACAATCACATAGCACAATTTGTTCAGCTATTCCTCAACTGATGGGTATCCCCTCAGTTTCTAATTCTTTGCCCCCAGAAAAGAGCTGCTATAAATATTTTTGTACACATAGTTCCTTTTCCTTTTTGTTTTTCATCTCTTTTGGGATACAGACCTAGTAGTGGTATTGCTAGGTCAAAGGGTATGCATGGTTTTATAGCCCTTTGGGCATAGTTCCAAATTGCTCTACAGAATGGTTTAATTAGTTCACAACTCCATCAACAGTGCCTTAACGTCTCATTTTCCCCACATCCCTTCCAACATTTGTCATTTACCTTTTCTGTTCTATCAGCCAATCTAATAGGTATGAGGTAATACCTCAGAATTGTTTTAATTTGCATTTCTCCAATCAATAGTGAGTTTAGAGTATTTTTCACATGGCTGTAGATAGTTTTGATTACTTCATCTGAAAACTGATCATATCTTTTGATCATTTATCAATTGGAGAATGGCTCTACCCCATATTTTCTATCTACATCCTGGTAGACAAGCCCATGCCCCTCAGCTAAAGACATGAGGTGCGCCTACCCAGAGTTGTGAGAATCAAATGAAATAATATTTGTAAAATGTTCAGTACAATACGTGGCACATAGTAGGTGCTATACGTTTGCTATCATTATTGTTATTATTATTACATGAGATCACAGCAGTAAAGCCCTTTGCAAGTGCTACATCAGTGTTAGCGTTTATGATTGGGATGGTGATGAACTATTACTTAAAAAGGCAGCAAAAGAGTGAATGTGTCCTTCTTCCCTGGCCAAAAAAGTGTTTTTATTTCACTGTGAAAATCCTAGTTAAGGATCTGAAGATTTAGGGCTGACTGTTTTTATGTCTACTGTGCTCAGGTGACAGCAACAGTGCTGCAACTTGGGAATCCAAGTCTCCTTCATCAATTCAAGCCCCATCACCTCTCCCAAGGGCCATGTAAGTACCTGCCAGAAAAAGGAGACCGACGCTGATTATCTTCCCTCAGAGGGCCAGAGCAGCAGCCTCCATGAAAGCAGAGGAGAGGTGTTCTCTCCAGGAAATAATTTAGACAGATAAACAAAAGGAGGCTCTTCTGGCTTTGCTTCTTGTCCAAGTTAAGAGGGAGATGGCCAGGACAGAGAAAGGCCAATGGGCTCTGAGGCTGGGCTTCTATTACTACACTGCACTGAAGCCTTTTCAAGGGAGTCTGGATTCTTAGTACCTCAGTCTCAGGAATTTAGCCCAGCACAGTGCCCAGCATACAGTAAGAGCTAAATTAATGACTATTGTGTGACTGACTGACCTGGAGGGAAGCACGCGCTAGGGAATCTATGCATGCCAACTATCTCACATCAATGAACTTACAGATCTCTTGGTAAAGTAGGGGTGATAGTTCCAACAGCCAAGAGACAGGGAATGTTATATATGATATATGATGTGTCTAGCCAGGTAAGAGATGCCTGTCATTTGTACAGGGCCTATCCTCTTCATGGGGAAGCTTCCTCAGGAACCTAAATTAGAGATCTAAAAATTTGCTCAGTGAGCTTAGAGCCACCACCAAGGAAAACCCACCAGTTGCCCTCCCCGGGACATAGTGACCCAAGATACCACAGGTGCACCCCATCTTATGTAAAAAGTCAGGGGGAAATTAAATCACGTTTCCTTGGAAATTTACATTATTTCTCTGTTATGCTGTGTCAGCATTTCTGGTGACATTTCAACTTTGAGTAGCATCTAGTCTTTTGCTTAGAGACTCAACCCCTATTTTAAGTAATAGGTGCATAAACAAACATCCTTTAAAAAACAAGGATTCTTTAAAAAAAAAAAAGGATTCTTTTAGTCCAAAAGAGATAATGTGGCATATTAGATAGTGTTCTAGACACGGGTTCAGGGAGACCCGAGTTCATATCCTACCTCAGTCACTTACTGTATGATTTTAGGCAAGTCACTCAACCTTTCTGAGCCTCAGTTTCCTCATCTGCAAATTAGCAACCCCTCATTAAGCACTTACTATATGTTTAATTTCCCCATCTTTAAGTCAACAAGGCAAGTCAACCAGCATTTATTAAGCGCTTACTGTAAGTCAGGCATTGTCCTTAGTACTTTCTCCAAAAGAGAAGAGTGATCACATGTACTTAATAGGACTATTATGAGGATTAAATGAGATGATATAAGTAAAGTACATTGTAAACCTTTGAAGTCTGATAGAAATATGAACTATTATCATTGCTGGATATTTGAGCTACTATTATTATAATGATCATTATTATTTTAACAGTATAGATGATCAGCTCATAGCTTTCGTGTGCATTATCTCATTCAATCTTCAGCACAATCCTATGAGGGAAATAGTATAAGCCATATTATTCCTATTTTATGGATGAGGAAACTGAGACTCAGATGTACAGTGACTTGCCCAAGGCCTTTTACTATCCCCTTAAGCAGCAGCACCAAGTCTTCCGATGTAGAACGAAGTTTCTTTTTACTGTGTGCCTGTGTGTACTGTGTGTACATAATGTGTAGATAATACCTCTCTTATCATAGAACATAGGAGAGGTTGATTCCTGGTTCCACCACTTACAAGCATTGTGACCTTGGACTAGTCACTGCACTTTTCCTCGTCTTGGTTCCTCCAACTGTTAACATGGAGATAATTATCTCGGTGCTGCTACTTCACAGGGGTGTTGGGAGGTTCCAATGAGATAGTACATGTGTGTGTCAAGGGTCTTTACATACCATAAAGATGCTACCTTGGCTGGGGAATAGTTAATATTCTCCTGCCAGGCATTTTCCCAAAGCTTCAACTCATTTCCTAGTTCACTAGAGGTATTGGACTCCACTTCCCCTTTCATTCTACTCAAATCAGCAGAGCATAACTCCCCCTTCCGTGGTCCAAAAGAGATAGCTCTCCAGGACAGTTGCTTCAACTGGTCTGGTTTAAATTTACATGAGTTGTTTCACAAGGGTTTTGTCTAATACTGATTTCTTTTTATTTCCCAGAAAGAAAACAGCAACTCAACTGAAAACAGTAAGTTGATTTTGAATTTGTGGTTTTGATTTAAGATGGCATTATCTTTTCTGTAACATCTACTGGTATTGGACAGCTTAACATTGAAGTTAAAAGAGAGATGAACCAGAAGGGTGTCCAGCTCATTCTTACAGGTCACGGAATTTTCTCTGGTCAAATCTAGTGCCCAGGAGTTCTGTTTTATCAGTTTCCTCAGAGGTGATCAAACTCTGAGGGATGGATCCACCCTGATCAAATTCTTTTTTTTTCTTTTTTCTTTTTTTTTGGTTTTAGGCAATTGGGGTTAAGTGACTTGCCCAGAGTCACACAGCCAGTAAGTGTCAAGTGTTTGGTCTGAGGCCGGATTTGAACTCAGGTCCTCCTGACTTCAGGGCCAGTACTCTATCCACTGCGCCATCTAGCTGCCCCCCTTTTCTTTTCTTTTTTTTTTTTTTTTTTTGGTACCCTGATCAAATTCAAGAGACATTGATTTATTGTTGTTTTCTGTAAGACTGGGTCTCTCTGTCTTGCTCAAGCTGGAAATACAGGGGCGCTACTAGTGGATTCATTCCCACTATTGATTGGCACAGAAGCTTTGCTTGACCTGTTCTGTTTCTAAGCTGGATTCAATCACTTCTCTTTAGACAACCTGGTGGTCCCCTGCTCCCAGAAACTCACTTTGTTGATATCAAACTTAGTTCAGATCAGTTAGTTCAAACTTAGTTCAGATCAATAGCCCACTCCAACTCAGAACTACTGAGCTCAAGGTCATCCACCAGGCTCAGCCTCCCTGGTAGCTGGGATTCCAGGTGTGTGCCAAGAAGTTGGAAAGAGACACTAATTTGCAAACTAGAATGTCAATTTGTTAATTTATAACAATGTTGGCTATGTTGATGCTACCCTTTTGCATGGCACACTTTTTCTAGTAGTTCTAGTCCAGAGACCAAATTATAGGTCAGAAAATTGACTGGTAAGCATAAGGATCACAACAAAGCAGTCAGATGCTCTCAAGAGACATTTCTGTCATACTATGATAGCTGGATTAATGGCCTTCTTAACTCTAGGGTTAGTGATTTATGTTTACCAGTTTACCAACTGGTACCAATTAGTGAAATCAGAGGATCTAGTGCTAGATGTGTGCTAGACAAACACTGGCCATCTCTCATTCTTGAGCCTTCTTTTTCTAGACTCAGTACAGACCCCTTAGATTTTGACATTATCTCAAATAGTATCAGCGTACATTCAGCTAGATCATGGCTCACCTTTGAAATTCAGAAAGATAACTTCCACTTGAGAGAGTTTCAGGAGACAACTTGATTTCATCAACTTATGACTTCTAAGGTGGGAAGAGGTGGGAAGAATACTTGGGTAGTTGACTAATCTCATCTTCTTTTTAAAAACATTTAAATTCTCCTTAGCTTCAACTGTAGGGCCTCTTTGTGACTTTGTTTCAAAATTCTAGGAATGCAACCCACTATATAATGACTCCAGTTAAAAGTTAAAGTACTTTCCAAATAAAAGCAAAAACACAGGGAGCCTTTTTTAAGGCGGACATACTCAGCAATGGTAAAAATGCTAGCTGAAGTTACACCTTCTAAGATGAGAACAGTTATAGTGGAAAACCTTGATAATGAGTATAAAACCATGGTGGCCTTAGTAAATATCTCTACTCTCCAGAACAGACTTGCCAAAGAGACTGCTTCTTTCACAGAAATTCTTTTCTGTGTGCTGGGGTATAGATTCCCTATCAAGTAATTATGGAGCTGATTCCAGAGGGTGGCAAAGCTAGCATTACCTGGGCATGAAAAAAAACCTAGGATCCTACCTAAGCAACAATGAATCAAGGCCATATGTTAATAAACTAATATCCACCTTGGCTTATTCCTTCCAAATTATCTAGAAGGTTTGGTTGCCATCTCTAAGAAAAGAAATGACACAGTCATGAGACCTAAATACAGATTCAGGGCAGATCTGGGAAGGAATACTCTGATAGCCAATATGGTTTAGAACCACTGGGCCTATCATCTCGACATTTACAAAAATGAGCAGCCTTTTTAACATCTAAATTTTTATGAGCATTCACATGATAGTGTATGTATCATAAGCAGCCACTGACTAAGAAAAATATATAAGTAAAAGCTACGATAAATTCAGTAATGCTTTAAATTTTATTAATTCTTGATAATGAAAATTCACCTTTAGTTCCTTCCATTTCTCCCCTGCCCTACCCTCAGTGATAAAAGAAAAAAAATCTCTGTTACAAATATGTATAGTTAAGCAAAATGAATTCCCTCATTGGCCATGTCCAAGAAAAAAAGTCTCAATTTGCACCTCTCTATCATTAGATAATCTATCCATCTATCTGTCTATCTATAACACATCTAGCATACGCTATCATAAACCCTCTCAGAGTTCCTAAATCTTTCCAAGTTATTTATAATATTGTCTTTACAACACTGTTGTTGTTATATAAATTGTTTTCCTGGTTCTGCACACTTCACACTGTATCAGTTCATACAAGTCTTCCCCAGTGTTTCTTACACCATCATCTTCATCATTTCTTACAGCACAAAAGTATTCGGTGATATTCATGTACTATTTATTACTTGTTTAGCCATTCCCCAATTGATAATTCTTTGCCATTACAAAAAGAGCTGCTATAAATATTTTTGTAATCCTTGGTTACAGTTTGTTTTGTTTAGGACTAATCTCTTACTTAATCTACCCTCCCTCTTGTTCCTCCCTTTTCCTTTTCCCCTTTTCCTTCTGTTTCCCTGTTGAATGAAATGTATTTCTGTACCCAAATGTATGGGTTCTTCCTTCCTCTGAAGTCTCAGATGAGCATGAGTTTCAAGTGTCAGTTGCTCTCCTCACCCCTTCCTCCTCGTTTTTAGACTCTTATTTATGCATTCTGCTTACGTCAGACAATTTTTCCATCCTGCCTGTCCCCTCCTTTGCCTCTCACTAATGCTTTTAAATGAATTTGGATTTAACTAAGCACTATAGTATCTCCATATATTTGAAAAATAGTAATTAATACATGTAGGCTGCTCTCTGGTTCAGTGGATAGAGTGTTAGATTTGGAATCAGGAAGACCGGAGTTAAATTCCTACCTCAGATGCTTCCTAGCTGTGTGACTCTGGTCAAGTCACTTAATCTCCCTCAGTCTCAGTTTTTTCATCTGTGAAATGGGGATAAGTAATAGCACCTATCTCAAAGGGTTGATGTAAGCATCAAGTAAGGTGACACATGTGGAGTAGTTTGCAAACTTTAACAAGCTATATAAATAGTAAGAAATATTATTATTGATTCAACATACAGAAATGGTCTTTGCTTATTTCTGGAGTTGTGAAGCCCTTACATAACCACTCCTCCCACAGGACCCCAACCTATCATTTAGACCAACTGCCAATAATTATCTTCATAGATTTGTTTTTAGCTATCGGTTACCAGCATTCACTGCCCTCCCCCACCCTTCAGTGCAAAGCACTGTTAGAATAGCCATAAATAAAGACATATCAGTTATTGCCCTTGCCACTGAAAAGCTATATTCTACTTTCAAATGCTGGTTGGTATTTTACATATATATATACATATACATATATGTAAAATTGTATACATACAATCTTGTGCAAAAAAACCATTTTTAAGATTGCAAAAATATTCACCAATTTCACTAACTATATGGTGCACAAGTCCCTAAGGGGACTTAGTGAAATTGGTGAATATTTTTGCAATCTTAAAAATGGTTTTTTTGCACAAGATTGTATGTCAGTATACACAGGGAGGTATGCTCTATTAAAATACCTATTTTAGTAACATTGCCTGGATTTCACACTGCATTATAAACTGTTTATTTTCAAATTCTGTCAAGTTGCATGGCCTTATTTTGTTTTTACAGGCCCCAGGTCTCCCTCCACCGAACACCTTGAGTGGGCATGAAGGTAAATGTATATAAAGCTTTGTTTTGTTTTGTTTTTTGCTTGTTTTGTTTTGTTTTGTTTGGGGGGGGTTGGGGAGGTGCACTCTGGAAATTACTTTGTAAGTAATTATTGTAAACAGGGTATTCATTTCTTAAACCAAAATAAAGCACCCTCTGCAAACAGCAGCAAGTACCTAGATTGTAACAACAAACACTTCTCATTATCAGGTGTCTTGACTATGTCCCAACCCTCACAGCACAATCTGCCCCCTTGCAGAGAGCCATGCTGATTTCCAAGTGAAGATAGAGCAGAAGGGGGCTCAGTGGTCCTCAGATCTAAACCCTGCATTTTACAGATGGGAAACGGAGGCTCAGAGTTGAAATAATCAGATAAGTTCTATTCAAAAGAGAAGAATTACTTATTCAAAACTAGGATTTGAAGTGAGCCAAATAAATTTGAGTTCAAATAGTACTTGTTCTTTTGCCTTTCCAAGAATTTAGAAAAGCATTCTTAATCTGGGGTCCATGCATAGATTTCAGGGGGTCCCTGAACTTAGATGGCAAAAAAAAAATCACTTATTTATTTTCACTAACCTCTAACTGAAATTTAACATTTCCTTTAATTATTTAAAAACATGATTCTAAGAAGGTGTCTCTAGGCTTCACCAGACTGCCAAAGGGGTCCGTGACACAAAGATTAAGAACCCCTGCACTGCTTTCAAAGCCTATCTCATATGTCTTACCTTCCTTCCTTCACTTCTACTGTTTTATTTATTGTGTTTGCCACAAGTGACAGCTAACTTTTTACACTTCCCTTGCTAAGATGACCCATCTTTCAAAATGGCCCCAGAATAGATCTCTGAATTCAGTCAGGGGTATTAGCAAATGGGCACTTTCTAACTCTAGGCCATAGCTGCTGTATAAATTGTCCTTTTTTTCCTGTCTCTGTGCATATGTTTCTCACTGGCTATCTCCTGGTTTCCTCCTTTTTTCTGTTATCTTTTTTGATCACCCTATTTCTGTGTATCTCCCTCCAGGGTTCTCCCTTTCTCTGCCTATCTTTCAATGGTTTTAGCTTTTGGTTCTTCCTTTGTTTCCTTTCCATCTTGTCAAGCAAAAAACACAGGAGCAGCCTGGAGCCTAGACAAGACTTCAACTACAATCTCCCCTCTGGAGCTCACCCACGCGCATCATTAAAGTACTAGGGTCCATGCAGCAGCACCAAGTCTCAGAATATGAAGGGACCTTAGAAAGCTGTCTCATTCAACCTCTACCTGAAGGCACAGGAGTGCAATGGAAAGGGCACTGACTTTATAGTCAGAGGGCCCGAGTTCAAACTGTAACTCTGCCGCCATTTCCTTGCTGTGTGACCCTCTGACCCTCAGTTTCCTCATCTGTAAAACTGAAGGTGGGAGTTGGACTAATTGGCCTTTAATGTCCCCTTCAGCTCCAAATCTGTGATCCTATGAAATGGGAAGCTTCTTCTGCTTGGATACCTCTAGAGTAAGAAGGGAGCTCAGAGACCATGTAATCCAACATGACTTTCCTCTCCTTGCCTCTTTTTACTGATGGTCAAACTGAGACCCAGAAGGGTTTGGTAATTTGCCCAAACAAGTTAAGTAGCTGAGCTGAGACTCCAGTTGCCCCCTCAGTCCACTTTTGGACAGTTCTCATTGTTACAGAATTCTTTCTTATATTGAGCTGAAATCACCCTCCCTGGAACTTCCACCCATTCTTTCATGTGAAATAAGTGTAGCACTGATTCTAACATTTTAGGGACTTGTGCTAAGGGAGAATTAGGGAAGTAGAAGGGTCCTCGTTTCTGCTCCATGATGCAGTGCAGGCCCTGCTGTCCAGAAGGTCCTCTTTCTCACGTTGGTGCAGGAAGGATTGCACCAGTCAGGCAGGGACCCCAAATCTCTAGTTACAAAGGAGTCTGAGCATAGTCCATACAAGCAGCAGACATGGAGCCTGAGCCAACGGGCAGGAGGCCTCATTCTCAGAGTCCTCGGTGACTTGGAGAGCTCAGATAGGACAGACATGCACAACATAGTGAGACTAAGAACAGGCAACGCTGGTGGCAGATCAGCTCTTCCCACTCAGTTTGGTTGTTTTACAGAGAAAATTGCATTTTCTTATAACCCTGAACTGCAAACTTTCCCCATGTAGAAAAGCCCGTACCTGCCGAACGTCACCGAGGCCGAACCCTCAGCCCGAGGCTGGACCTCCCACACCCGTCAGCATTTCCCACAGTCAACAAGTAAGAATTATTCTGTTCCTTGTATTCCCTCCCATCACTATAGTATGTGGTATCTGCAGTGAGGCTGGAAGGCCCAGGGTAGCTTCCTTGTCATGAACTGAGGCTGACTTTAAGCTAATGGGCATTTTCCAGCAAATAAGGTGTTTGATCACCCAACAAATGTGTTGGGCCCAAATAAAATAAAATTCCAACATTTAGCCATTGCATCAAGATTATGAGCCTTGTATGAAAATTATATCCGAAGTCTTCTTTTCATTGAACCAAGTAATAAAGAAAATGGACACTACTGTCAAGGTAGTTGAGATTACAACACCACAACTTTTACCCAGATTTATCCAAGTTACATAGAAAGTGGGTTTGTTTGTTTGTTTCTTGAATTACTGAGGTAATTACTTCAGCTTTCGGGGCGATCTACTAATGAAAAAGGTGTGGTAGAGTGAAGAACATTGGGTTTAGAGTCAGAGAAGATGGGTTCAAATCCCAGCTTTTCCACTTACTACCCACAGGACATTAGGCTACTCACTTAGCTTCCATAAGCCTCAATTTCCTCATCTGTAAAAAGAGTGGCTTGAATTAGATAGCCCCTTAGGTCCCAGCTCTAAGTCTAAGGTCCTATGATTTTTATATCATTTCTTTCTACAAAGCCAAAATACATGGTAGAAAGATCAGAATCTGAGCCAATTAAACTCCAAAAAAGCCACAATCCCTAAGACCAAACTCATTTCTTCCTCTAGATGGGCTCTCTTTCCTGAAATTCATGTTTCTGAAAATGGTAGTAGAATCATTCTCCCAGATTCTGGGGTCTGATAGCCAAGGTTTATCTTCTTTGACTCATGAAGCCCCCTTCAAGGAAAGCCCATCAGCCTTCCTTGTCCTCTTCCAATCAGTCACCAAACCCAGCTGATTCTTCCTTTCTCATTTTATGATTTTATTTTATGATTGCCAAACACTTTGCCTTATTTCCATTGTTTAATTACTCGGGATCATAATATATAGAGGGGAATAAAGAACTTTAGAAATGATTAATTCTGACTCCTAGAGAGGTTAAAAGACTTGGCCAGGGTAAGTAAGAAGAATTTATGTTGCTAGTTAGACATGACTCATTTGATTTATTAATGCAAGCCCGATGGTGCCTCCACTTAGTTCGTGGAACTGTGATGTTAGATTAACCATTTCATAGTCTTTTGAGACCTTGAAAAAGTCCTCCCTGCTAAGCCTCTAGAATCAAGAAAGTCCTCCTGTGGAGCAATCATGATCTTGCTGATAATTTAGAACTATCAGAGAATTTCAGAGAACCACAGAATAGTTCAACCAGAACACAGCTTAAAGACCATCTAGCCCATCCCTCTCATTTTATGGATAAAGAAACTGAGGCACAGAAGGTTTAAGTAACTTGCCCAAGGTCATATAGCTCGTACTCCAGACATGCTCATTGGTAACTGTCTCTGTCTGCATTTACACTCTTTAGAGTTAAATCTTTGTCATTCAAAGAAGAAAAAAAAAAGGTAGATTCATGCTCCATTTCATCCTTAACTGAATCTCTACTGTTTTATTTCAGACCAATCCAACAGAAACCTGTACCTCCACCAAGTAAGTGGAATGAGCTACTGATAATAAAATTAAAGGCAGTTTTATTTACAATAAGATTGTACAGAATTAAGAGATTTGGCCATTTATTTTTCTGGTTAATTCGGTAAATATAAGCAACCAACCAACCAAACAGTATTGAAGCTAGAGAGCTCAGGCTCCGCCCTCGATTCCTCATTCTGGCTTGACAGTAACCCTGAGTTCTTCAAGGGTAGGGTAATAAAGTAGGACCAGGTAGGTCCTACCATGCTGGGACAGTTTTGAATAGTGCTCTTCAATGTATGCCTATCATATGAGGACCAGCCTAGATAAACTCAGAAAAGATCCATCACCAAATTGAATCCAGGACAGTATATTCTGGGGCACAGCAACCTTGAAGGTCATCTTCTAAATCTACTAAACCTTGGAAGGACTGCTATCTGCCTCAAAACTAGGAACACGCTCTGTGATAAAATCAGAAGCTCTTGAAATATTGAGACACAACAAAAGTTCTGAGATGCAGAGGTGTATGTAGCAGTTAGAGAGCTAGTCTTGGAGTCAAGAAGACCTGGGTTCAGGTCCCATAAACTAGTTGTGTGACCTCAGTACCCCAGCTTCTCTTATAGGAAGGGTTCTGATCTGCCTTGGTAGAGGAAATGACAAGTCTAGTCTTAAATAAACTAACTTAAGCTCCACAGTGAGTAAATGCCAAATCCTTAATTTGCCTGAACAATCTGATGCTTTATGTGGGTAAAAAGGAATATTATACTGAACTAACTGGTGAGTATTACATGAGCACTGAAATTATAAAAACATAGGTGGCTGGAGATATAAGGGACTTCCAGAATTGTTTAGTCCAGTATCCCTCACTCCTTGCATTTTAGAAATGAGGAAAGTTGGGGGGAAGGGAGAAGAGTCAGGTATCCAAGATCACAGATTGGATTAGTGGCATAGACAAGACTAGAACCCAGGATTCCTCCCACAGAGTGCAGCTGTCTTGCCATTAAACCAAGGATTATTTGTAATATATCTACACAAAATCATCTCTCACATTCATATTAAGATGGGGGGGGAGAGGGATTTTAATGGGTTTGGGAATCATGTTAGCCAAATGCAATTTTCACTAAATCCTAGGTTTTATAATTAAATTATAAATAAAAACCTTTTGGTCATTATTGAATTTGTGGAAGACATTTAAATGTATATTACACTTATTAAAAAGACAAAGGCAAGGATTTGAGGTCATTCCAAATTTGCTGCAACTTCTATTGAAAGTTTGAAGAAGATCTTTAAGTCAAATTCAGTTACCACCTAATTCTAACTTTTAAAGGTATTCTATAATATGTAATATTTAATAGGTTAGGAATCTAGGGAAATGAATTAGTTCTTTTTGGCCCCAGGGGGAAGAAGTAAGAGCACTGGGTGAAAGTGATGAAGAGGAAAATTTAGGCTTGATATAACGAAAACCTTCCTATGGGCTGCCTCCAGAGCTAAGAGAAAATTCCACTGGAAGTCTTTAAGCAAATGTCTATATGACTGTTGTTATGTTATAACAGAAATTGTTTTTTAGGCATGATTTTGAAGGAGTAAGGCCATCCCCAACTCTGAGACTCTCTAAGACTCAAATATATAGGGACCTATCCAAAGAGCCTGGACCTAATCTCTCTCATGTGGTCCTGGACTACCGTATGTTCTTGGAGGCCTTCCCATAACAAGAAGACTAGTTTTGTTCATTTGCTTCCCAATCTTTGACGTGAAGGACACCATTCTCTGGGTACGGTGGGAAGGAGATAATGAAGGTATCAGTGTACATTAGGATGGATTGGCCTAAATTTTACTGTCATGTTTCAAAGTCTATTCAGATCCTGTTTGGGGCTGAGGGATACCAATGACACTGTTTTAGGTTTTTGTTTTGTTTTTGGTTTTGATTTGTTTTAAGTGAGGCAGGATTCTTACCCATTCTGTGTTCACTTGTCTGCTACTACTGGTGTCAATAAATGCAAATCAAATATTCTAGAACCAACCTCTTTCCAAATAACTGTTCAGGGGGCAGCTAGGTGGTGCAGTGGACGGAGCACTGGGCCTGGATTCAGGAGGACCTGAGTTCAAATCCAGCCTCAGACACAGAACAATTACTCGCTGTGTGACCCTGGCCAAGTCACTTAACCCCACTGCCTAGCCAAAAAAAAAAAACCAAAACAAAACCCAAATAACTGTTCAGTTCTAAAACTGAAGAGACTTCATGAGGTGACAGTATTGTGACACAATTCAGGCTACTCCCTGCCTCTCTTTGCTTATGCTTCTCTCCCAGCCTAGAATGTCCAATCCATTGCATTTACCTCCTCAGCTCCTACAAATCTCACCTCTGCCACGAAGCCCTTTCTGACCACTCAGATCCCTACTGGTTTCTGCCTCCTTCAAACATCTGTTGCACCTTTCACCTGTATACCTTTCCCTATATAATGTTTTATCAGTTCTGTAGTTGTTTGTCATGTTTCTGCCTAATCTCCCAACCACATTCATTGTAAGCTCCTTGCAAGCAGGGACTAAGTCTTATATTTCTCTTTTTGACTGATCTCAAATCCCTTTTTCAGAGCCTCCAGAGGTGTTAAGTCCCAGTATGGATATTCCATTACCCAACTTTCCAGCCAATTCCTGTTTGTCAGATCAGGTATGAAATTATTCCTGTAAGTATCAACTCTTCATCTGGTGGAGGAGCACAGCAACACATAAGAGAGAGTTTTCTAGATAGAACTTGAATGGAGTTACACATGTGGGCATTTAACATACTCTTTCATTTAATTCAATTTAACAAACATGTGCCAGGCACCACATTACACAAATAGGTAAATGAAACAATCTCTGTCTTCAAGAAGCTTATATTTCACTAGAAATGAAAACAAAAACATACATACATACACACACACACACACACATGCACACACATCTATCCACATGCACACACGAATGCATATATGCAATGCACACATGTAAATATAGAAGCACATTGTGTATATGAAGTACACACACAAACACACATGTAATATGCATGTGTGTGCCCTGTGGATATGGTGTGCATATGCATACATACATGTAAATGTATTTGCACATGCACACACAGAGACACACACGGTTTGACAGCTGAAAAACTGAGATAAGTGCAGGGAAGGGATCTAAAGTGTTGCTCTAAATCTGGGATGACTCTCACTGGGAAGGTCAGAGAAGGCTCCATAGAAGAGGTGACACTGAGTGAGGCCTTGAAGGAAAGACTTCAACAGGTGGCAAAGCTAAGGCTCAGCCCAGCAGAAGCAGAGAATGCAGAATGAAGGCAGGGCAAGAGGGGAGGGGTCTAGTTTAGCTGCAGGGCTAGGATCAGGAAGATCCGAGTTCACATCCAGCCTCAGACACTCACTAGCTGTGTTACCTTGGTCAAGTCACTTAACTTCTGTTTGCCTTAATCCATTGGAGAAGGAAATGACAAACCACTCCAGAATTTTTGTCAAGAAAACCCCATTTAACTTCTGCTTACCTTAATCTACTGGAGAAGGAAATGACAAACCACTCCAGAGTTTTTGTCAAGAAAACCCCATAGACAGCATGGTCCAGAGTGTCATGAAGAGTAGACACGACTGAATAACTGAACAACAGCAACAAAGTATGAATATATGACTTGAGAAGCCAGCTTGTCCAGGACCTCAAACACAGAAATAAGAGGTTATATTTTATTCAAAACAATGTTAAAAAAAGAAAAAAAAAGTAAAGATTTTTGGGTAGAGGAATGATGTGATCAAAGTGTATTCTCTTGTGATTCCTACCAATGACTTCTGTTAATTAAAAAAAAAAACATTATAGGTTACAGAGTCCTTTCCCTACGATGACTTTGTAAGGTAGGCAGTACAACCATCATGGACCCAGTTTCATGGATGAAATGATTAAGACTGTATCAGGTTGTCCAAGGTAACACAGTGACAGAATGACTTTCATCTCTGATATCCTGATTCCAAATCCATGGGTCTTTTCTCTGCACAGGGCTGTGTAAGAGGCTCCCTTGGGCAGCAAAATGAAGGCATATGGAGGAGGAGTAAGTAGGCAGGAAGCAGAAAGCCCAACTAGGTGATGATTGTAGCAGTCTGAGCATGAGATAAAGAGGGTCTGAACTAAGGCAGTTGCAATAGGAATAGAAAAAGAGGGAGATATGAGTTATCAAAATAGACTTGGGACCTGATGATATTGGGAGGGAGGGGGGAGGGACAAGATTGGATGAGGAGGGAAAGTTGAGTCCAAAGTTCTAAGTCTAGGTGACATACAGGGAGAATGATCATACCATCAGCAGAAATATAGTTATGGAGAGGGGCACGTTTAGAGAGAGAGTTCAGTTGAGTTTGATGTGGTAGTGGGAAATCTAGATGGTGCTAACCCAACAAGCATTTGGAAAAATTGGACGGGAGCTCCAGGCAGAGATGTGGGAAATAGAGATTTGAAAGCTGATTGCATAGAGGTGATAAATGAAGCCATGGAAGGAGATAAGCCCAATGGTGGATGTGTCCTTTTGCAGTTGACTGTGGGCATTTTTGAGGTCCCAAAGGAGATAAATGGTGATTCCCATTTCTCTAACAAACAGGAAGCATGTCCTTTCCCTGGGTTTCTCACAGACACCAGGGTAGGGAAGGGCTCCACACCACCTTCTGCTGTGCCTTTTTTTTCTCCCTTCCATAAGCTCTCTGTTCCTGTCTTGCAATCTAAATACCCACATGCAGAGTTTCTAGGTTCCTAGGGTCATAAATCTAGAGAGGTTATCTAGTCCAACCCCCCCTTATTTTACAGATGTAAAAACTGAGGGGTTTCCAGGCCCAGAGAGGTTGAAAGACTTTTCCAAAGCCACATACAGATATTCAGTGGTAGAGGTGGGATGTGAACTGAGGGATGTGCCAATCCCACATTCTTTCCAAGGTCCTTTCTACACATCTAAAAGATAGGGTTCTCTCCAGTCTCTCCTACGCGTTAGCATTTTTAATGTGCTCTTGGTTTTGCAGGAAGCTGAAGTTCACTGCCGACCATGGTACGCCGGCTCCTGTGACCGAAAGTCAGCAGAGGCTGCATTATACAAATCCAACAAGGTGTGTTTCTTAATTCCAAAATCTGTGCATAGTCTACCATTGCCATTCCTTTTATGTAACACTGTGCATTTTGATTGACTGTGAGCTATCTTTGGAACACTCTCCTTCCTCGTCTCCACCTCTGGGTTTCCCTCAAGTCCCAGCTAAAATCTCACCTTTCCTATGGCCCCCTAATATTAGTGTTTTCCCTCTAAGATTGCCTCCAAATTTTTATTTATATATAAAACACACATATATACATGTATACATGTGTGTATATATGATATATACACGTGTGTACATGTGTATATGTAACATATATGTACCTATACATATTTATATGGGGGGGGTACGTGTGTGTGTGTGTACCCTAGTTTGCATTTTATCTCCCACATTAGACAGTGACCTCTTTGAGGGCAGGGGCCATTTCTACCTTTCTTTGTATCCCCAGCATTTGGCCCAGGGCCTGGCATAGAGCAAGGGCTCAGCACGTGCTTATTGTTGTCGTGGGGAGACTTTGGCTTAATTTCTTGACGGGACTTATTCAAGGCCACACAGCGAGTCAGGGGTAGGGGTAAGAGCCAGACTCAGGCTTCCTCACTCCATGGCCAGCACTCTTTCTCCCATCTCACACTGCTTCTCTAGAAAAATGTCACATTGGGGCAGCGAGGTGGTGCAGTGGATAGAGCACCAGCCCTGAAGTCAGGAGGACTTGAGTTCAAATCCGGTCTCAGACCAAATACTTACTAGTTGCGTGATCCTGGGCAAGTCACTTAACCCCAGTTGCCTATGGAAAAAAAAAAAGAAAAACGTCATGTCAACAGCCTGGAAGTAGATGCTTACTTAAACAATTTCAGCCCTCTAGAGAAAGGCACCAGGCCATAAGAGACAGAGAGCTGGGCTTGGCCTCAGCAAGTCACAGCACCACTTAGATGTAGCACAGTTCCCCCAAACTCAACATTCTCAAAACAAGGAAGCACTTCCCAGAACTTGATGCTCGCCATAATTTCTTTTATTTCTGCTGATGGCATGACCATTCTACCTGTCAGCCAGTGACTTTGGACTTCTCTGTGCTTCCGTCCGTGTCTCTCACCTGGCCCAATTCCAATGCTTACCAGCTGCGTGACCACTGACAAGTTACTTTACAAGTTCCATTTCCTCACATGTAAAACAGACAACCTAACTCAAATGAGAAACACATAACGAGATCTCCAAACTTTAAAGCCCTGTATAGTCAGTTATTATTTTATCTGCTCCTGTGTTATAAGAATGACTTTCCCCCTTCTCCCCTCAGAATAATGACTTTCACCAGCAGGGTAAATATCTCAGCTCCTTCCAAGAACATTTACACATTTGACTGGGGCTGTTCTCCATTCCTCATGTCTCTCCCTCTGTCCCTCCATCAGCTTTGCTCTTCTTCCAAGTATCCTTCACCTCCTTCCCATCTCTCTGTGAGTATCTGTAGGCATGGTTACCTTCAGACAAGATGAGGTAAGGGACGTGAGAGGTACTGAATACCGTGGGAGGTCAGAGGAGTGAGAAATCACATCCTACTGGGGAACCTGGAAAGTGTTCAACGAAGAGGCATCATTGGAAGTGGGCCTTCAACAAGGAGGAGATAGATTCTAATGGCTAGAAGCAAAAAGGTCTTTCAAGGCAAAAGGGACAGCATGAACAATGCCACGAGGTGGGAAATATACCCTCTAATATTCTGTTACCTCATATTTCACTGCATCCCATTTAAGTGACATATGTACACTCAGAAGTTTCTTCAAGATTTACCTATGAACCAGAATGCTTCATCCTCAGAGCATCATTCTGTGCTGTTTCTAGACCCTGAGAGAGGAAGAGGAGGAAGAATAGACTTCTGTAGACCAGAGGCAGATGGTAGCAGTTTCTCCAACATCTGGTTGGCTGGAACTCTACATCTTGACTTCTGATAGGTCTTCTTCCCCTTCCTGGTAATGAAGATTCCTAGGAGAAATGGGTGAAAGAGTGAGAAAGAACACAGGAGAGGTATCCATCTGTCCTACCCTTACCCCAAGGTTTCAAGGTTTTACTCTTTGTAAAAAAGAGACTGGAAATTATTCTGAGGCAATACAGTGCCTGGATGGGTTTTTATAAAAATTTTAAAAAATAAATGATATTGACTTGATGTTAAGGGAAATTAAAATTAGGATATCCTTTTTAAAAGGTCTACAGACAACATTAATGTGTTCTTTCATGCATATTTACTATTCCTATAACCAAATTGTTCTATTTACTTCCATCAATTTATAACACCATGGTACATGGAAAGATGATGAAAGATGGAACCAGAAGTCCTAGAGTAAAACCTACCTCCAGCTTTACTACCTGAATAACCTTGGAAAAGTCATTCCCTCTCTCTAGATCTTGGTCTCCCCTTCTGTAAACTGAAGGACTTTGACCAAATGACCTCTAAGTTCTCTTTAGCTATAATGACAACAATAGCTCATGTTTCATTAGCACTTTAAGGTTTGAAATGCTGTGTGTGTGTGTGTGTGTGTGTGTGTGTGTGTGTGTGTGTGTGTGTGTATTCATTTGATGTATGACTCCATGCCCCTTTGGTTTCACTTTGTATTCGACTGATATCAAATGTAGAAATCTGTGATTTCATTAGTATTGGTATTTGTACTTCATTAGTATTCCCAGATGAGGAAACACGCTCTACCAATGAAGGCTGGCACATACTCTGTACCTTATAGTTCTAGAGGGTTGTCCAGGGCACTTAGAGATTAAATCCTATTTGCCCAGGGTCACATATCCAGTATGTACCAGAGGTGAGGCTTTAACTCAAGTCCTCCTGAATTAAGACCAATCCTCTGTCCATTATACCACACTGGAATGTTGTTGAAAATGGTAGACCATAAATTCTCATAATTTTTCACATTTCAATAGCATTTTATAGTTTACAAATTACTTCTACACACCTGATTTCATATGACCCTCACAAAGGTAGGGGTGGAAGTAGCAGCATCCCCAGTTTAAGATAAGGAAACAGAGGTTAAGTGACTAGCCCCAGGTCACATAGCCAGCCGCAGAAAGCACACTGGACTTGGAATTAAAGGACCTAGATTCACCTTCTATCTTGGACACTTACTAGCTGTGTGATACTGGCAGCTATACTACCCCTCTGGGCTTCGCTTTCTTTATTTGTAAAATGAAAAGGTTGGACTAGAATTCCAAAGTCCCTTTCAGCTCCAAAATTTGTGACCCTAAGTGAAAGAGCCAAGATTGGAAACCAAGTTTTCTGAGAAGTTCAGTGCCCTTCCCAATGAAAAGACATTCAAGGCCATACATACCTTTCTTTAGTTATCCTTAAAGGTGGTTTCCCATTTGCAGTAAGTAATAGCAATACTAACCATAGTGTGTGGGGTTTTTTTTTTCTTCTATGACTAGGATGGATCATTTCTTATAAGGAAAAGCTCTGGCCACAACTCCAAGCAGCCATATACATTAGTTGTATTCTATAACAGAAGGGTTTATAACATCCCTGTGCGGTATATTGAATCAACAAAACAATATGCTTTGGGCAGTAAGAAAAATGGTGAAGAGGTGAGTAATTCTTTCAGTTCAACTCAACTGTGCCACAGAGTTTCAGCCACTGTGTAAGGCACCCTAGGATATACAAAGGAAGTATCACACATGGGCACTGCTCAGTACTGCCCAGACCTCAGGAGATTCACAGTCTTATTCTGGAAGCACAACTTACATATGACATAATTAAAGAACATACATTCTTGTGCTACAGATCCTATGGGTAGTCAGGAACAAGAGACATAAAGGTCAAGACAACAGCAATGATGAAGTTCATCCAAGTCAAGATCATAATCCTGGACTAGAAACACAGAATTCAAGATCCATATTCCAAAAAGAGTTAATTAGCAAGGCAAGACTAGAAATTGGATTACCAGGACAGGGTTGGAAACATAGAGCTCAAGTGCTCAGAGCCTATGCAAAAGTACTGAAGGTCAGTTTACCAGGCTGGAGTCAGGAATGGAAATTCGAGGAGGGGAACAACTAAGGACCCTAAACACAAGGTCAAACCTGTCTTAAGTCTTTCTCAGTCTAGACAAGTGTTAAAACTTAATTCTTACTTGCTTAGCTAGTTTGCTCTCTCACTGAAAGGTGACCACTGAGTTGGAATAGTAAGAAAAAAGTGCACGGAGGATCCAGAACTTGATCTGGAGGGTGGAGGATAGGTAAAATGTATATAGACATAAAGCTGTGGTCATTTGTCCTCTCTGCTGAGACACTACCAGGAACCAGGGGCTCGCTACTTTTCAAAGCAGCCCATTTCCTGCTAGGTAGCTCTAAGTAATAGAATGTTTTTCCATATGTTCAGCTGAAAGCTTCCTTCAAGTAACTGGTTCACCAGTGTTGCCCCGTGGAGCAACACTCCCAATAAATAAGCCTTCCCCTCTATGTGACCTGACTTCAAACAAATGAATGCAGCTAGTATGTCTCCATGTTATATAATGTAATTCCTTCAAAATGTCACCATAGAAATTATCAAAGTAATTTTGCAGTTTATCAGACTTTCACCAGTAGGATGACTATCTCAGCTCATTCCAAGGGCATTTCCAGTTTGGCCATGAAATGGCCTTGTGAGCTCATCTCTGCTTCTACAGCATTTACTTAGCTTGACCACTAGATGGCATAAATGCCCCTGAAATGTTAGATCTAGAAAGAGTTTAGTGACCACTGACTCTATTCCCCATCGTCCACTTCATTTAAAAGAGGCCCGCAGAAATGAATCACAGAGTGGACATGGTCCTGAGAGGCCATCTAGCCCACCCCACAGTAGAACAAGAGCCATTCTTCTACAATATCCCCAACAGCTGGACATCTAATCTACTCCTGAGGGGCCACCCACTATTCCTTGAGGCAGCTACCCATTCCAATTTGAGATAGCACCAACTATTAGGAAGCTTTTCTTAAAGGACCTATATCTGCTTCATTGCAATTTCTGCCCCTTGCTCCTAGCTCTATCATCTGAATACAAGCAGAATTAAGTCTAGCCACTTTTCCACATGACAGTCTTGAAAGCAACTTGACTATCAGGTTTCCCCTAAGTTTTTTTTTTTCAGCCAAAGACAAGGCCTATTAGAACATCTGCCATATTAGCCAGACTCTTAAGGAATCTGAACATTAGTGATCAGTGGCTAGATTATAAGAATCTGAGCCCCTAAGTCTTTTCTAATACAGTCTAAACATCCCCATTCAGCTGTCCATGATCCTAGAGGTCTTGAGTGTTCAGACTGCTAGATCTGACTCATTCTGACTCCTTCAGGCTCTCATTTATTTTATCTAGTAGCTTTCTAAACAGAAAGCATTTTGAAACTTTTGTAGTTCTCGGTGGATCTTTAAGAAACTCAGAAAACAACTCATTTCTGGTAAACCAATCAACTCTTTATTGTTGAAATGTATGTAACTTTGGGAAGGAAATACTTTTATAACATAAGTCATAGCAAGGTTAAAAAAAATCCTATTTCTTAAGCCCATGATCTCCAGGAAGATCACAGGTTATTATCTCAGTTATTATTTCTGTCTAAGCTTTCAGAGAACCCATGTGTGTCATGTTCCTCTTTATATCTTCTTTCCCCTCCCCTCAGCTTTGCTCCAGACATCTCTTCAGGTTATTCTCTCTCTCTGAGTTGCTTCTTAATGGCTTTTTTCATACTAGTTATGACCTTGTCCTTTGAGAAGAGTGACCAGGGGCTTCCACTATCCTCTAGCTTTAGCTCCAAACTGAATAGGTAAATAGGTAGAAATCGGAGGTTGAAATGGGTTTACTACTTTTTTAAAAAATTTATTCCAAGCTAACTAACTGAAGGCTATGTAAATCAGTCAGGAGTTGTAGTCCAGGAGTCTGGAAGACAACTTAAGCCCTCAGTCTCTCTCCAGTCTGACTTAGAAGACCTGTCTCTTACCTGGGAACCCTTGCTGTTCCTCCCACATGACATGCCATCTCCAGACATTGACCATTTTCGCTAGCTGTCCTCTATGCCTAGAATGCTCTTCCTGCTTATCTGTGCTTCCTGGCTTCTGTGGCTTCCTTCATGTCTCAGCTAAACCTTCTCTTCTTCAAAAGGCCTTTTCCCAGCTCCCCTTAATGTTAGTGCCTTCTCTCTGACATCATCTCCAATTTATCCTGTATAGGTCTTGTTTGAATAGTTATTTGTATATTGTCTCCTCCATTAGACTATGAGATCCTTGAGAGGACTGTTTTTGCCCTTTTTTGTATCTCCAAAGTTTTTCACAGTGCCTGGCACGTAGTAAGCACTTAAGTGCTAGCCGACTGACTCACTGAACAAACGAGTCTTACTCAGTAAGGCCCTATGCTAGGAAGATGGTTTCCTTCTCCAGCCTATCTAATCTGCAAGTATAGTAGAGGTATTTATTGTTCCCTACCCTCTAAGACACTTTGGGGTACAATTCAATGAAATATTAAGTAGAAATCACAGAACCAAAGAATGTTGGAACTATGGAAGGGACCTTAATGGTCACCTAGTCCAATCACATCATTTCACAAGTGAGGAAGCCAAGGTCTAGAGAAGTAAAGTGAATTCTCAAAAGTCACACAATAAGACAGTTGAAGAGCTGAAACTAAAATCCAAGTCCCCCAGCTCAAGGGCAAGTGATCTTTTTGGAAGAAATTCATGAGGATGGTACTTGTGTTGGAACAAGAGTTCACTTAGTTGTAGAAGTTGGTGTAGAAGAGATGGGGCTTGGAGTGGGCTTTTATATGGAATTAAAGTCTTGCTTTAATGTGTCTCTCTTTTCTTCCTCCAGCACTTTAACAGTGTGGCTGATATAATAAAGAATCACCAACATACACCTCTGGTTCTCATCGACAGTCAGAACAATACCAAAGATTCCACTAGACTGAAATATGCTGTTAAAGTTTCATAGGAAGTAAGAAGAGAAGGGAGATTAGTAGAGTTGCCTCAGATGTCTTCAATTCTCTACTTTTTTTCGTGACCCAAGAAACATTCTGAAGACCACTCTTGGATCACAGCTCGTGCACCATGGACTGAGGCAGCTGGCACAGAGGACAGCACTCCTTCAGAAGGAGATCTTGGAGACTGTGCTGTCTGTTGTTTCTGTTAGTATACAGTGTGGTTGAGATGTTATCACCATTGCCATAAGACTCCAAACTAGACTGCAAGAAGCAGTTAGAGAATGAGAATTTTCAGTCATTCAACTACAAATTCTCTTCTATTGATCCATTTTCAGCAGAAGAAAGCAACGCCATCTAGCAAACAAGGTTGCTAAGAAACTGAGGCTGGGAAGAAAGAGCTCTAAACTCAGATGGCTGAGATATCCTGGGTATCTTTTCTCAAACCCTGACAATCACTTCTTGATTAAACTTCTAATGTAAAGGAAGAAAAGATCAGAATATTATGATATATTCTAGACCGTATGTAGCAGGAATGTATTATTGAGTGATTGCTCTGACCTGTCAGCACTCAGTTCCTCCCACAGGGAGGGCAGGACAGGGAGTGTGGATGTGCCCTAAATCATGGGGTCAGCTTTCTAAGAAATCATTGTTCACTTCCAGGTTGGTTGGGGTTGTTCTACTCATTCAAGAGATATCATTCTTCATGCACGTGTCTATCGGTGGACCCAGAAGTGGGATGAACAAAACCCTTGAGTTCACAGCAAACCTTCTCCTAGAGATCCCAAAAAGGGGGTGGGGAGGTGTTATGACAATCAAAATTGGACAAGAATGCGATTATTTAGAAGCTGGCAACTGACCATTGAAGATAACTATATTTTAATAAGATGCTTAATTTTTATACACTCTCCTGCTATGGTTAATGCCGATTGACCTTGCTCTGAATATTCTTAACATTTTTTAAGTAAAATCCTTTTCTAATGTGAATCATGAACCTCCTTCTTCCCAATCAGCCCCCTACCCCACCCCAATCATTTCAGTTTTCTAAGTATGGTTGTTCCTATGTGGTACAATCTCATTAAATCTGAATCTGTAACAACCTGACTTGGACCAGTGAAATTTATTTTTTCACTATTGATAACAAAAAGATTTTTACTAATAAAGATTCATAACAGCAGCAAAATTGATTGGCCCTTGGTTTCTAACTGCAGTTAGACGTGGAGTCACGAAGACCTAGGTTCAAATCCTGCCTTATTCATTAGTGATATGACCCTGGGCAAACTAACTTAACGTCTCTGGGCCTCATTTTCCTCATCTGTAAAGTGAATTTTGATTTGATGACTTCTAAGGTCTAGCTCCTAGGACATGAACCTTCAGGCTACTGAAAGATCTGGCTCTCCAGAGATTAAAAACATACCTCCTCCCTTGAATGTGTGCTAAACTACCCCTTTCTCCCTCCTCTCTATCTCAGACATCCTAGAGCAGTGGTGTTGAACTCAAATAGAAAGAGGGACCATCAGTCTGTACATAAGGATCCCTGCGGGCTGCATACTGATGTAATTTTTCAAAGTAATGTTATCTTTGTTTTATCGTAGTTTTATTTAGTTAAATATTTCCCAATTATATTTAATCTGGTTCTGAGGCACTCGGGGTGGGGGTCCCATGTTTGACACTTCTGTCCTGGAGTACTGGCCCCACCAAAGAAGCAGATAGGAGCCTGGGAAAAGCTTCAGTTTGTCTCCCTGTGTCAAACAGAACTATACAAGTCGGGGTTTGGGATCTTGCTGGGCTGCTCAGACAAATTACTAAACAGGGAAATGGGAGTCAAACTGGTTCCAACACCAGATGAGAAGTAGAAGTCTGTACTCCAAATCTTCTAATTCCTCTTTTTCTACTTAAAGCATTGCATGATGTCTCAGATCTACACCAACGTTACAGGCAAGATGCAGAGGCCTTTAGTTTTAACTTCAATTAGCTACAATAGAACAGAACTTTGTTTCTCATGTTAGAAGTTGGAGGGGAGGAGGCGGTGACAGGGAGAGGGTCAGAATGTACGTCTAGCTACTGGCTGCCAAGTATCTGAAGATGTGTAAATGTTTCTGGGGTTCACTTAAATTTGAAGATCCCTACACTACACGAAGACAAGAGATTACCTTTTTTTTTTTAATTGTACCTGTGGTTTATGTGTACAGATGTTCCAACAGAAAAAGATATGTTGGGATGGGAAGGGAAAATAATTAAATGAATATGACGTAGTGTGAAATAAAGAAATTAAATTCCTCTGGACTGTTACTTCTTTGCAACAGATGAATCAAGCAAGTTTTAAGTGCTTAATTGTGACAGCCACTGTGCAGGGCACTAAAGAGAAAAAATAAAAAAGAAATAGCCCCTGCCCTCACATTAGATCTAGATGGGCAACATGGAAGCAATCTTGGTGTAACTGGCCCTGAAGTCAGAGGACCAGGGTTTAACATCTTACCCGACACTTATTATCTGACCTTGGGCAAATTATTTCAGTTTATTTGGTCTTGGATTAGATGGACCAGATTGCCTTAGGTCCCTCCCCATTCTAAATCATTGATCCTATGATTCTGTGTATAGTCACACATGGGGAGGGAAATGCCATGAGCTAGGGAAGGCAAGAAGGAGAGTACATTCTTGAAGATGGCAGGAACAGTAAGGCCAATTTAGGTTGTAAACTATATGAAGATATAAACCTCAAGCCAGGTTGTAAAGGGCTGAAAGATAAACAGAAGGGGTTGCATTTGACTTTAGATGGATTGTCAAGTTAGACGTCCACTTTAGAAAAATCACTTTGGCAGCAGTATGAAGGATGCCTTGGAAAGGGGAAACTTGAGACCAGTTAGGAGGCTACTGTAGCAGTGTGAGAGGATAAGGCCCAGAACCAAGGCGGTGGCACTGTAAGTGGAAGATGGGGACGAGTGAGATCATCAGTGTCTCATGAGGCACCTGCACTCGTCTACAGTGGTGGTATCTCCTGTTTTAAAACATTACAGGAAAACAAGCTTCCCACAGTAGTTTGCTGTAGTGTTAAACAATAGTTAGCATGCATTTTTCCTAATAAATTTTTCTGCAATGACTAAGTCTATATAATGACCCTCATACAAGTGAAAACCTTTTCATACCTATTTCTCAACATTGGACTTATGCTATGAATCTCTCCCTAGCAATCTACTTGTTTCCCCAAATACACCGAGACATCTCCTGTAACGGCCTGAGCAAAGCCAAATAATTCCTTCACAGACCGAGATGCTTTGTTCCCCTTTACCTGTACGATGACACTGACTGCATAGTATGGCATACGTAATACAGAAGATGCAGTTCCCTGGCATCATCTTGCCTTCTGCTACACTATACTCAGTGCATCAAGATACTTGAGCAAAGGAGGCAATGGAGCAAAGGAGGCAATGAAAGGGGAAATAATCTTAGCTCTTCAGTTTACAAAGGACTGTCACATACATTATTTCTCCATCTGTTGAAATGTTACCTTTTAAGATTCAATTCAAATATCCATTCCTCCATGGTTTCCTGTGATTCCCAACCCCCTACCAGAAATTCTTCCATGTATTTTTATTCACAGCACACTATTATGCTTTACTTAATGTCTACAATGTTCAGATTTCTCCTATAATCACTTGTTTTATTTCTACCATTAGAGTGAGGTAGCATCAAGCAGTGCACGTGTCAGACACTGCCTCAACCAGCTTACAATGCAGCTGGGAAGCCTGACAAACATACAACATTAATTAGTAGTTTTCCCAGCCACTATGCAGCCACAGGGATGTTTCTGTCCTGAGTTTGATTCTACTGGCGTAGTGGATAGAAGAGCAGCTCAAGAAAGAAGAGGATTCCAGTTTCACCTCTGACCCATGCTAGCTGTAAGACCGTGATTCAGTCTCAGTGTCACCCCTCCGTGTCCCACAACTCTAGGACTCCATGTTGAAGGCAGTCTACTTATCTGCATCAGTAAATGGCACTTCTGCATAAGGAATTTCCTACTGATTAAACCATAAGGGCCCGTAATCTGGGGCCCACAGGCCACCAAGAGATCTGTAAACTTGGATGGGAAAAAGTTACATCTTGGTTTTCACTGTCATCTAACTGAAAATTATCATGTCCTTCAACTGTAAAGACAATAAATATTTGGTCTAAAGAGGGGGAAAAAAGTCAACTCAAGTGAAGGCAAAAACTGTCTTAGTGTTGTTTCCTCAGGAACGAAGTGCATTCATTGTACTTAACAGGCGCTTAATAAACATTTGTCATAGTTCAAATGATCTCATTTAATGCCTAGCAGCCCTGTTTCTGTTCTCCCTTCTTTCACCTCATCTTACTCTTTTCCCTTTTCAAAGTCGTAGCTTTAGTTATTTCCAGATCTGTGGCTGTTGTAGACTTCCAAGGGTGTTGGTTCAGTCAATACAGATTATTACAGTTCAAAGACTGTCAGAGGCTTTGTAAGAGTTTCACAAAATAGCCCAAAATTAAAAACACTCAATAAACGTATAAAGATTTGAGACTTTTGTGACCAAATCCTCTCAAGGTAAATAGGTGTTCTAAAAACAAAATGGATTATTTTTAAAAGATGTTTTTTTCTCTACCAGGAAAAAAAAATCCTATGTGTAGAATGTTGTTTTAATTCACTGAAAGCATGCAACCACTCTTTAATAGCCTATAATAAAATCACTTATTTCTATATGGTGCTTTGTTATATTTGCAGAACTTTCAAACTTTAAAGTTAAAAAGAGGGTATGGGAACTCTAGAAAATTCATACTTTCCACATTTCTTAATTCAAAAAACATGACTTAAAACAAAATATCAAAAGAGTTAATTTAATTTTATTTTTTTTGAAGAAAATACTTAAGTTCTGAAATTCAGGGTATTTAATAAATAAACAGAAATAAGAAAAGTTCATTTCACCAACAGTTTTACTGGAGTGATTCATCAGTTCTCAAATACCAGTTTTAGTGCAAGAAAACATTGACACCAACAATTAAACAACAAAAACAATCAATCTACTTAGCTGCCATGGGCATGTAATCCTGCTCTCCATTGTGAAGAAACCAGTAAAGTGTAAGCTCTTCCAAGTCAAGAACTATTTCACTTCACTGCCTCCAGTGTTTAGTACCGTAACATAATGAATGAGTACGTGTATGTTGAATTGGAGTAAGACCATTTAGGTATCTTCCAGAAGCCTGACCACCTAGCTGAGAATAGGTTCTGATGCAGAAATGTCTAAAACACCATAAGCCCAAGCAGATACCAAAGGCTTTTGCTGAACAGTAGCAAATTCTTTAGGGGTACAGGAAGATCACTGTCCCAAGGTATATCAAGTCTAGAACAGATTTCCTGTTTTGAGTTCTCAATTAAAATAATCCATACACAGGAAAGTTGTTTTGCAGAGTTTACATAGAAAATTCTATCTGTATATGGAAAAGTTTCTTACCTCCCTTTTTATTTCAAGTTTCTCCTCATTTCAAAAACCCTAAGAATCCCAGCTCTCTTAAGAAGTCTTGTCAAATTACAGATCACTATTTTCCTCAGTTCCATCCTAACACAGCCTGAAAATCCCAGTTATTCTCCATTTGTCCCAATCTTACTCTCTTCCTTAACTACATTTTAGTGGGGCTGAAAACAGGAGACATTCACTGGAGAATTATGGTGTTTTTTTAGAGCTGGAAAGCACCTTAAAGAAAACTAATTTCAACCTCCTCCTTTTACATAAAACTGAGGCCTAGAGACAATGATCAATGTCACACACCTAGTGGCAGAGTTGTGACAATATCCTAGGACTGCGGACTCCTACCCTCAGCTCTAACTGTACTACAAATTCCTCCCTACCCTGGTGTGAATGGAATAGACTCTTCATCCCCTTGTTTTTTGTTTTCTCTATGTATCTTGCACCTATTTATGCATATCAGTTTTACTTTGCAACCATAGCACAGTCACAGCACTACACACAACTTGGGGCTTAAAAAGGTTTTGATAGTTTGAGAATTGATGAACAACATGAATCACTAGAACATATCGTGACTGCTATAACAAAACCATCTTGCCTTTTAAAAAATTGTTCTATGTTTAAATTGTTAGAGAGGTTTTTTTAAAAAAATTAGTGATGGTAGGGGCAGCTAGGTGGCACAATGGATACAGCACCGGCCCTGGAGTCAGGAGGACCCAAGTTCAAACCCAGCCTCAGATACTTGGCACTTACTAGCTGTGTGACCCTAGGCAAGTCACTTAATCCCATTGCCTAGCAAAAAAAAAACAATCAAAAAAATTGGAGATAGAAAGAAGCCAAAATGCATCTGAGGCCATTCACTGAACATCAACAGTTACATAAGAAAGAAGTTAATACCTAAATACGTGTTGGCAAAAATAAAAATTCTTCTAACTGGAAGATTGTCCTAGAAATGTTTGATTTTACTGGCTTCAATTTGGGCCATAAGGAGAGGGTATAGCAATAAGGGCAAAAGAGGTCCTTCTGTTCCAATTGTGAAGGAAAGTTCTCAAAAGATTTGCTAGTGAGAGGAATAACCCAGGGCACAGGAATTTGAGCTCCTAACCACAACTGGCCCAATTAGGTCAAAAATGTTTCCCACCTGAAGGACAAATTTTCCAGACACAGCTACTCTGTAGCCAAAAAAACCCTACACTTGCCTGAGCAAAGAAGCTTCTGACATTGGAGGGAGTCAGGGTAAGTTTCCAACTCAGGCCAGGGAAGACAATGAACTTAAAAGCAGAAGAGCACCAAAGTGACAGATTTCTTAAATCTCACAACTTTTTGTATTTATCACTTTCTTAACCATTAAAGAAATGCACACTGTTATTTTAACAGTGAAGGAAAAGGAATGTTAACTGGACTATGCTTTTACCTCTCCAATTATCTATCACTGGAAGAACCCTAAGACTAATCACTTTGGTGGCAGCTATTGGAATGGTAAGCATATTGCCTAACTTATTAAGAAACAGGGAGTCTACAAAGTTTGTCCTAGCAAAATAACCCTAGCAAATGGGGATAAAGTCACATATCACTCTGAAATAAATTTCTAATCTTTAGAATAAAATCATACTTTATTATGTATAGGGTACTGGCATAAAAGGTTTTAAAAACTAAGTCTTTAAAAATGCACAACATTAAGTTGTCATTAGGTATTAATACAGTAGACTAAAATTGTTGTGTAAACACAATTTAAGATAAATTTAATATTAAAGGGAGTCATTGCAGAAATTAGTAATGCTTACCATTCTTGAATTTACACCATTACGCGTTATGAATATATTTATGTTTCCAATTGATTCCATTCTTAGGCTCAATTTAATAAACACAATAGTAACGTTTTATTTATATGAAAAATACTTCACTAAGAAAGTAGACAAACTGCACAGAAACAGTACAAGTGTCATGTGCATAGCAAGATAGCTTAAAGCATCTACATATGGCTTTCTTCAAAATAAACCTCTTGGGGAAATGGCCCATTTTGGACCTTTTGTTACAGTTGATATATGTAAACTGTTTCACATCTTTTAGGCACTTGCTAACAATAGTGTTCATATCCCTGAAAAACAAATTTACAAAAAAAAATTAATAAAACTAAAATTAAAACCAAGAAAATAATGCTGGTAAAAGCTCTCTCTATATATTTTTTAAAAGTTTATAACCGGTTTTATTAGTGCATGCCCAGAACTAAAAACAAACTTTTTAGGCCAAAAAAATCTCTGTGCAGGGTTTATAGCAAATAAGCCATATACAAAAATATGTACACATCTAAAATTTTAGTTATATACAGAAGAGAAGCCCTGAAGATTTATTCCAATCAATAATAAAAATATATAACACTTATAGTAACCATGTAACAAAAAAATCTTAGATCATGTAATTTTCTAGTACAGATGAGCTCCATTATACAAAGACCCAATAAAAGTCAAACCACATTTATATAGCAAAAATTTTGTCTTTGATTCTTCTGTGCAGCAACTTCATTTTAAGTCTGTTCTTATCGAGGCATCCACTAGAAAGCTGTCCTGAGTTCTACCACTGATTAAAGTTCTATACTGCTGTCTCCCTCTACCTCTCCCTGACACCAATCAGCTCTTTTGCTTTGGATTTCCAGTCCTCTAAATATTATGAGAACCACTTCCACACTTTCATGTGTGAAAGATATGGAATGATGTTTTCTCAGTCATGGAAATGGGGCTCTTTTCTTTTTTTCCAGAGCTCTGAGATTACCAGATTGTTACTGTATATTTTTTAAAAAAAAACCATCTAGAAAAACAAATTTTCCCTGAGAAGCGCCTACTTGTAGATCTTACATCCAGAAGAAAAACAGTTAGAATGGCAGAGAGCATCTACATCAAGTATAAGAGCTCCCTGGAAATTCTGGAAAATGCATTTATCTAAAGAAATCTGCCACCAGCTCTGCAACAAGGTTCTCCAAAGTTGGACTAAAAAGATATTCCCTTGTTTCTGTTCCAGCCTTCCAATACAGCCCAATACTAGCCTTTGAATCATAACCTCTAAAGGTAGTATAAACCTTCGCCCATTATAGGACATAGCTCAGTAATGTAAGCCTTAACAGGAAAATAAATTAGTGATTTGCTTTACCTATCTATTCAGAGACATCTCTTGTACGAAAGTGAGGTACCCAGTGGTATTCTAATTGCAACGAGTTAATTGTAAGTCAACTACACTATCCCGTCAATCTATTTCCTTTAGAAGGCTCATAGATTAGAGGTGAAAAGGACCTTAGGGGTCACAATCAGTTCTACCCTCCTTATTATACAAATGAGCAACTTGAAGTCCATGGTGACTTGCCCAAAGCCACAGACATTAAATGGCATTGGAGAATAGGATCTCTATCTCCAAATCCAATGCTCTTTCCACAGGACCACACTGACTTGAGAATTATACTCCTCTCTGTGCCAGAGGTCTCTGAGTAATCTGGACTGAGGATAAGCAGCCTGGAAAGGAAACCAGGAAGAGAAACTTTAGCTTCGTGGTGGGATGCTGGTGCCATACTTAGAGGTGAAATACTTACCAGATTTTATAGGACTGATAACAGCCAAAGCAGTGCTGATGGAAATGCCAACCTCCACTATAATACATATTCCCAAGTAATTTTTCAATATTACTTACTGGGGGAAAAGATTTACTTTTCAAATTTTTTTTCCTTTTAACCTAAATATTCCGAACATATTCTTGCAAAAAAGAAAGAAAAAAAACCCAAAGTACATCTGTGCTATAATTTCAAAATGCATGCATGTTGTGGTGGCATTTTCAAATGCTGCAATTTTGTTTTTCCATTAAAATATAACCAGGTCGAAAAACAATTAATATTTAAAAGCTTAACTTCTGGTACTACACTGAAATAGAAAACATCTGCATATCATAATTTGATTCATTCTTTTAAAATAATTTTATTTTTTAATAATCAAGGCAAATTATTCTAACATATGCCAATCCCGAGTAGCTTCCATTAAATGTCGTTGTCCATGACCCACCCAAGCATCCTGATTGTCAAAAATTCTACCACAATACCAGCAGTTAAACTTTGCCTTCAGAGTATTATCAGAGGTAGTTTTCACAATCTGATAATTATTTTTGCTTGTCTTTTTAAGCGTTAATTTTAACACAAATCTTTCTTTCACAGGTTTAAGTACTTTATGCCTCTTGGCAGAAAAGTCATCAGTAATTGCTTTAGAAATGTTACAATATGCTGGTTCCAGAAGTGCCTGAATTGTTCTTTTTGACAATGAAACCTTGAGCACATGCCCTTTAAACTTAGCAATAGTTTTCATTACATTTACCACTTCCGGAGCATCTGCATCAGGATGGTTTAAAACCACAACAGGCTGATTTCTTCTGGGGCATTTTACAAGCTGCGTAGAACTGAAAGGGAAAAGTCGCAAAGTCCTAATTGTATCCTTAGGAAACCTTGGTCTGTAAAGGTCAAATGTGTCATGAAAATCTTCAGATTTAGTTTTTCTTTTACTCTTCCTATGCAACATTACCTTTTTTCTAGGCCATTCCTCTAAATTCCCTCTCCATTTTGGTCCAAAGTTCCTGTTTTTATATGTAATCATAGGTTCAGAAGCTTTATGTCTTATATGAGTTTTTATTTGTGAAATCTGTCTTCTGGTAGACTTTCTATTACTGAAGCCACTCCCAGATGAACGATCTGTTTGACACCTTAATAACTGTGTCTCTGGATGGTTGGTGGTACAAACTGTCCCTTGAGGAGGAATGGGGCATATTGCTGTAGAGGTTGCGATAGTTGCATTTGCTGGCATCAATCTATCTGTTAAGAGTAAGGCATTGCTAGAAGAGACTGGTTGTTTCTCCTTTGCTATGGAAGTTTGATGTGACTGTATGATATCTAACTGTAATGAAGACTTAGGACTGTTTACTGACTGACTGATATCACAAGCAGGGTTCTTAATAATTTTCAGCAGTATTTTTTGCTGTGTTGCTCCAGTTTTCTTTGGTTGATGATTCTGATGATCGTAAGTGCCATTCTGTAATAAATCAGATGGACCTATTTGCGATTTATTGGGAGTTACACATCTTAGGAGAACTGCCTGTCGGCCATCAGGCAACAATGCATAAAGAGACTGTTTCTGCTGAGCTTCACTTGGCTGCTTTACTGAACCCAAAGTATGTGATTTAGTGCCTTGACATCCAGGCAGTGTATTCTGAGAAGAAATTCTATTCACTGAAGACTCTGCTGGGTTTCTAATAATATACGATCCTTTAAATGGCACACTATTTTCTGAACTAACTGTCATTTCAGGCCTACTCTCCAATGTAGAGGGGCAAATTATACTTGCTGGACTATCCTTTTTCAATTCTGCCCTTACAGAAGGTGTTTTGTCATGTTCCTTAGCTGCAGCAGCACCAAAAATTTGAGATCTCTCACCTGTGATGTTGGTAACACTTCCAAGCACTCCATTACTTAACCTTAGAATCATTCCAGGTTTCTTGTTTAAAAGGAGAGATGATGGTACACCTTGAGTCATATAAATACCTGGTGGATTAGCTGATGAAAGACTTCTTCCTGAAACAAGTTGTAATCCAGATTTGCTAGCAAGATGCAAAGGTAAAATAAACCCTTTAGGAGACGACTGAACTAAAATTGTTTTTTTCGGTTCAGAATTTATTGGTGGGCTCAGAACATGAAAAGAACCTACGCCATTAGAATTTTCTGGAGTAGCCTGTATTTTGTCTTTTACAAGTTGCTGAGTTATTATTGTATCGGACTGGGTTTTAACTAATGTGCCAACACCAGCAATTCTGGGTATTTTCTCAAAGTCTCCCAAATCATTTGGTGTTGGCAGTACTTGTTTTTCTTTCTCACAATCCATTTCTGCATTTGTTGTACAGTTGCTGGCACTGAGACCTTTTGTATGTACACCAACACCCACATTCTTAGATGAAATGGGTAAAGTGTATGGACCTCCTGAACCTTTAAAACACTCAGTTATGTCGCTCTTTCCCTCATTTTTCAAAAGTGGCTCATCATGAAGTTGTATTCCTTTATTTGGTGTCATATCAGAGCCTTTCTCCACACTTGATTTTTCATTCAATACATCTTGTAACAACCGGTTTTCTTCAGGAGATAAAAAATCAGATGCCTGTTCACTCTGTAGTGAGAAAACAGATGTGATTTTAGGCATTGTGAATGAATCAGCAGAAGAGACATCCTCCCAATCTGATTTCTCAGCTACATTCTCTAAGTCTTGATTTATATTAGTATGAGGATTCTGTGTGTCCATATTTTGTACTGTTTCTAAAATTTCTGTGTCAACTTCACGTTGGTTTTTTAAAGGTTCAAAAGTATCTTTAGAGTTTAAAGGGCAATAAGTTTGACAAATCTTTGATGGAGATGTTTGATGGAGATCTGGATTTGTGTTCCTCCCCACTGATGGCAAGACTGCTTCACTTCTCAAATTATATTGGTGTACAGCTGTTTTGCTTGATGAAGATTCTTCAGAGTTTTCACATGCTGTCACCGAAATACTGCATGAATTATCCAAAACGTCCATTTTTGAGTAATTATGAAAAGGTAATGATCCTTGATTACAGGATGGCATATAGTTGAGATCATTAATACTGGAGTTATTCAACATCCCACTATATTGTGCTTTTGGTTCAACAGAATTTACTTCAACAGATTCCAAGTTAACTGGGTTCTTAACTGTGGCACACAATACCTGAGGATGACTTTGAGTAACACAACTTCCCCATGCTTCAACATTATTACTTATTCTAATTTTAGTGGTCAAATTCAAAGGAGCTGCAGTCAATTCTGAATTTGTTGACAAGTGAGGTGTACTTTTCTCAGCACCTACTACTGTCTGAGATTTACTCCTAGCTTGAGCCAAGACAGCTTTTTCTTTTTCCAATGTTGCATTCCCTGAAAACAGAGGAGTAGAAAATGATAATGGATTAGATGTGTTAGTGCAAATTGTATTATTCAAATCAGATGTATGCAGTGTAGCACCTGTAGATAATCCAGTAGTTTCAGCTGTATGATGCTGCAAATCAGTAGTGTTGTCCTTTGTTATATCTGGCTGTAGACCTGGAGAACATGAATTCGATTTATTGGTAGGCAACAATTTTATAACTATGTGTTGTTTTCCATCTACCATCTTGAACCCCATAAACTTAGCACTATAGTTGGCAGGAACTGATATTTTATTATTTTTCATCATTAGCACTGTGGGTCCATGTATAGCATTCTTTAAAAGTCCAAAACCAGAACTTGATCCCTCTTCAGGTCTACTACACTGACTGGTAGGTAAGAGGTTTCTTGTTTCTGATTCTGACTCATCTTGCTTCTGACTTTGCTTTTCAATATGTATGATTTCATCCTTTTCTTCATTCAAATGCTCCCATATATTACTCTGTTCTTCAGATTTAATCTGAATTTTATTATTTTTGAGCACCTGTGTGTTTTTTTCTACATAGCTGTCATTTCCATTGCTCTCTTTCTTCTGTCTCCAAAGTGTTTTTCTTGATGTTCCTATCTTGTATCGTCTTAATATCAGCTTAAGTCCAGCTGTAGTCTTTACTATTCTTTTTTCACATTTTTCCTTTTCCAGTTTGTCTTTTGCATATAATTGATCTTTGTGCAAAGCTATAACATGTTTCAGAAGTTGGTCCTTCCCGGCAGCACTATAGTTACAATATTGACAACTGAAGGGAACAGTAGTGGAATGAACAAAGAGATGCTGCTGAAACTCTCCTTTGGTGAAACTTATATGATGACATTTACTACATTTATAGTGAATCTCATTATGTCTATGAATATGTTGAACAAATGTGCCAACATCCTTGGTAGAGAACTTGCATTTTTCACATTGAAAATTACCATTAACACAATGGTTAACTGTAAAATGCTTTGTTAAGTCTAATAAAGTATACACATTCTCATCATTACAAATGTCACATTTTACTAAAGTGCTTCGGTGGATAAGTCTGTGTTGTTTAAATGACTGAAAGTCATTTGCAGAAAAACTGCACATCTCACAAGGATATAAAGGTAACTCTCCACAGTGCAAAAGCTGAAAATGTTTCTGCAAATCATTCGGGCTATATCGAACATTGTCTCTACATTTTGTACAGCTGAAATTAAGTATTTTTGCAGACATTTTCATTCCTTCTTCTTCATATCCTATATTGGGTCTATGCCACAAATTACACTCCTCTAAACAGTTTAAAGGACTTTCATCTGCTTTCTCTTTGCAAACAGATTTTCTGGCAGTTTGTGGTTTATTCTCAAGTAATTGTCTATATACGTCAACTTCATGCGTCAATAGGGCTTCATCTGGAATACTTATCTTGGGCAAATCAACTTTCACATTTTTCAGTTCATAAGGAAAATTATCTTCTAAAACTCTTGGTTCTTCTGACTCTACAGCATCAATAACTATTATGTCTTCTACATTATAATCTTTTTTTAAAGTAGTTGGCTTTTCATCACAAAAAAAATGCTTCTGTTCAGATGGCATGATTTGAAAAACTGATCCTGGTGTCCTCTACTCAGCAAATTCTTGAAGTTATTTATAATTTATGCAGAAAACTAGAATATTGTGCTGAGACATCTTCAAAATTCCAGAATTTTCCCACTTTAACTTACCTAAAATTAAAGAAAGAATTGAAATTCTCATCACTAAATATATGTGAACTTTGTATTTCAAAAAATTACAAAGCAAACACTTTTTAACAAAATACCTAAGAAAATTACTGAGTCCAATGCCTTCACTTTAAAACTAAAGAAACTATAGCCAAGTAAAGGATAAGGTTTCTAATTTTCACTAATCTGCCATTAACTAATCTGACCTCTTAAGATTCCTTTACACTCTAAAGACCTTATGATTTAAGTTGTTACTTCAAATTTTTTTTTAAACAAAACTTAAAAATTCAGCAAAATAGCCATAGAAACTATGTAAATCTTGATTACAGAAATATAGGTTATCCATTCAACCCAGGGACTAACTTCCTTAGCTTCTGAATTATGTTTCCAGAATAGGAACACTTAAGGAAACAAAGGAGTTGCACCAGGATTTTTGTTCTTTTTGGTGGATGACGGTCCAGAACTGTGATTTCATTTCACCAATTCAAAGGACTCACAATATGGGAAATCTGGCAGAAAGCAGAAATTCACAACTTATAATCCTCACATAGAATTTGTCTCAACCACTGAAAAGATTAAGTTATTTTATCCATGGTCACACAGCTAGTATGTGCACAGTTTTACAGAACAAATCCTTCTATTAAGGAGATTTGTTCTGTGAAGTCTGGATTCAGTCAAAGGGCCACACTTGAGGACTGGAGGGCCACATGTGGCCTTGAGGCCACAGGTTCCCCACCCCCACACCATACAAGCTACAATTCTCACACATAAATTATCCTCAATAACATCCACTTCTAGCATTAAAAAACAAACGAAAACAGAACTCAGTGCCCACTATAAAAGGGAACGTGTTAGTTTGGGGTGGCAGGGAGGGGAGGGGGTGGTGAGAGAAGAAAAAACTGGGAAAGAGAGCAACAAGTCAAGCCAACCCCCTTGAGAAGATGAAAACCTACCTGAACTTATCCTCCATGATTAAAACATTCCCATTCCATTATATCCTTCCATCCCAGTGAGTCTGAACAAATGTCATTATTCAAGCCCCATTCTCCACCCCCCACAGACTACTCCCTTATTCCAATCCCCTTCAATCCAAACCCCTACCCCTCCAAAGTCCCACTCTTAAGCCTCCATGTCTATTCCACTAAGTAACAAACTTGCTTTCATCTTAAACATTTTCCTTTCTCACTACTTTCACCTTTGTGCACTCACTGAGACCTAACTCCCTACTAATGAGAAAGCTTCTCTGTCCAGCTCTAGTTGCACTTTCTCTCATGCCAGCCCCACTTCCCCACACCAATTACTGGTTCTGGCACAGGAGCTGGAATACTCTTTGCTCCTAATTGCCACTTCCAGGCTCTCCCCCTACCTTTCCTCTTTTGAGGTTCAATCCATATTATCACCCAAATAAAATTCTAGTATCTGTTATCTACCAACCTCCAGGATAGTCTCTGTTCTTCCTCAGTGTGTTCTGTCTTTCTCTCTTTCCCAACTTCTGCCCCACACTAAGGGACTTCAACAGACATAATACTGATACTCCTTCAAATACCCTAACCTCCCAATTCCTCAATTTATTTTCCATGACCTACTCTTCCATCCCATCCTCAACTACTCAAAGATGGGTCATATAAGGGTGTGCTGGAGCCAGCTATTTTCAGCTTGGACACAAAAGTTAAATTTTCATTATAAGCATTTATACCTCAGAAGTCATCAAACCAGGGCTTGATTTATTGTTTTATTGATTGTCTAGACTTAAAGTTAAGAGGGGAAATGTTAATAATGCAGATTAAACTTAAAAATTCATCTGTCATTTTTTTTTCCAGAGAGCCAAGCGTTAAATATTTACTCGAACACCTCTGGCCATACCTTTCTATACCCATGTTAATGAACTTTGAAATTCCTTTACATGATCATAATCTGTTGTCATACCACCTCCCCCCTCTGCCTTACATCCCCCAATCCTATTTCTTTATCCTCACTACAAACTCCAATCTTTCCACCTCTTATAGTTCTATAACAGGCCATCATCCCTGTACTGGCTACACTCTCTTTCCTTCCCCATCTTGATCCCTTGTTTAAACCAGTTCAACTCTACATGATGCTCTCAGACCCCTGACCCTTTATCCTACTGTTGGTCTTGCCCTACCAAACCCCAACCATAGATTACTCTCTCCATCTACTATCTTCACTCCTACCCATGTGGGGCTGAATGAAGATAGGAAAAAAAAAATGACTGGGTCCCCTCGAGGTTTACATTAAATAATCTCAACTGGGTCCCAACTTGGCTAGGCAATCCTTTTATACTTCCCCAATCGATCCCCTTTCCCATTCACCAACAGCAGCTTTTCCCAACTTGTTTATCACTCCCCAAACCTCCCACAACTCCCTTTCCCCTCACCTCCTCAGCTGAGAACCTTGCCTCATGTTTCACTATACAAAGTGAGGCCATTAATAGCAAAGATCACCCTCTTCTCTCCTTTCTCATCTCATATAACTCAGATGCTTTCTGCCTCTGAGATGACTCTCTCCTCCTTCAATCACTTCCCATAAAGTGGCCCTTTTCCTTGCTAAGGCAAACCCCCTTTACCCATACAAGACACCCCATCTTTTCCAACAGATTGCCACTTCATAATCTCCACTCTCTCACTAATCTTCCATTTCTCCCTATCTACTGGCTGCTTTTCTACTGCCTACAGACATGTTAACATTTCCCCCTCCCCCCAAAATTAACCTCTTATTTGATCCATCCATCCTCACTATTGTCTTATATTTTTCCTCCCTTTCATGGCTAAATTCTTTGAGAAAGCCATCTATAAGCAGAGCCTTTATTTCCTTTCCTCTACCTTTCTAACTCTCTGCAATGTGGCTTCTGATTGTCATTATTCAATTGAAATAGCTTTCTCCAAAGTTACTGATGATCTCTTAATTACCAAAAATTCTCAGTCTTTATCCTTCTTGACCTCTCTACAGCCTCTGACGCTGAAGATCAGTGGTGTCAAACTTAAATAAAAATAGACCCTTGCAACTACAAACTGTTTTAGAAAACTGCAAGTTAACATTATCTATGTTGTATTGTATTTTTTAAAGTTCTCTTGTTGCCTGGTCTGACTGCTCCTTCTCAGTCTCTTTTTGCAGAATCTTCTTCCAGGCAGTACCTGCTAACACTGGGTCCCACAAGGATCTGTCCTGGGCCCTTTTCTTTTCTCCTTCAATATTAATTTGCTTGGTGATCTCATACATGCCCATGTATTCAATTATCATCTCTATTCATATGTCTCCAAATGCTTACTGGAAATGCCTAACTGTATGTCCTATAAAAATCTTAAATTCAACATTATTTCCTCCCCCTCCCCCAAAATCCTCCTTTCTTCCTCACTTCCTTATTACTATTGAGGGCCCTACCACCCTCCAAGTCACCCTGACATCATCCTCGACTCCTTACTCTCACTGTCCCTTGTGCCCCATCCAATCAGTTGCCAAGTCCTGTTGATTCTACCTTCACCTCTCTAGTACATGCCTTCTCTCTTCTGACACTGCCATGACCCTGTGCAGGACATCACTACTTTGTGCCTGGACTACTGCAATATTCTGCTTGTTGGTCTCCCTGTCTCAAGTTTCTCTCCATTCAGCTCTCAAAGTGATCTTATTAAAGCACAAGCCACACACTGCCCCTCCTCTAAGCCTCCAATTTCCTCCATGATCAAATATAAAATGCTGTGCCCAGCTTTTAAATCTCTTTATTACCTGATCCCTTTCTATATTTCTAGTCTTCTTATACCTTACTCCCCTCCATGTGATATATCAGTGACACTGAACATCTTTTCTTCCCACAAGATAGTCCACCTCCTGACTGCTTATTATCACTGGCAGTCACCCCAAGCCTAGAATTGTGTCCCTCCTTTCTGTCTCCTGACCTCCTTCAGATTCCAACTAAAATCTCACCTTCTGTAACATGCCTTTCCCAATCTCCCTTAATGCTAATGCCTTCCATCTAAGATTATCTCTTGCTTATTTTATAAGTATCTTGTTTGTACATAGCTGTTCACATGTTACCTCCTCCATTAAAACTGTGAGCTCCTTAAGAGCAGGAACTGTGTGTGTGTGTGTGTGTGTGTGTGTGTGTGTGTATGTGAGTGTGCACACACGCGCCTTTCTTTGGATCGGCACTGCTTAACACAGTACCTGACAGAGTAGGTGCTTAATAAATACTTGTTGACTTGATCTGATTTCATATAAGGTCGAGATATCTAGAAAACAGTAAATATGGTTTAAGACAAAGAACACAAATGTCACACATGATGAGAAGGTGTGGATGGATTAAATCAGCACCACTGAAAAGTATCCATATTGATGAGATCTTGGGTTCACTGAACTAATTAAGTAGAATACATATATATGAGCAGGAAGAACAAATTGCATTTTTCTGAATTTAGCTTACCTGAAAAATATTAAGCACCACTAAGAAACTGCTATGCTTCATAGTAACCTAACATTTGCTAAGTTTTATATTATCTCATGTGAACAATAGTTTTCTACGGATAATCTGCAATGACAATAACAAATAAAAACTGATTTTAGTATAGTAGGGCAGAATTATTCACTGAGAAAGACAGGCCTTTTTTAGGGAAGCTGATACAGAATGCTGAATCATATGGCCTTATGAGTTTGAAAGACAACAACTTAAACAAAATGGTGAAGTGCGAGAATGACCCTAGTACCTCCCTTTCACTTCCTCTAAACAAGAATGTCATGAAATAATTTTCAAGATATCGCAAAAAAAGTAAGATTTCAAACTAATGAAAAATATCATAGGCAATATAACACTATTATCAAAAATATAAACTTCCACTAAGTTAACTACTAACCCACATACTTTTTTCATCCCTCAAATTTTTTATGAGAATGATCTATGCATATTAAGATTCTTGATGTAAAAGAAACAGGTAAGCTTTCCCATGCAATTTTCTACAACAGACTACATCTTCATAGTCATACATATGACAGAA